CTAATTAAACATATTTCTATTCCTATAATGAAATTTATGCACAGCTACACAAATTGGATAATATTATAAATAGACTTCAATTTATTCAGGTAGAGTTTTGTTGACTAGGAAAAACATTTTGATTTTAAAGCTTTTTGGATTTCAGAACAATGAATAAGGTGTTGTGCATATATATCTATGGATAGATACAGATATAGGTATATAACTTAGAACAATAATTCCCAGCACATATTAAGTGCTATATATGTTAGTTTCTACTGTTATTGTCCCTTAAATTATTTAAATTATTATTTTAGTTGATGGGATGAGGAGGAACAATGAGTTTTGTCTTTTTTCATATTGAAATTTTCATTTATACAATTTGGTCTAGTATTCTTTTTCTTTGACAACTGCATCTTCCTTTTAGAAACTGTATCCTCTTTGCATGATTTAGACTTAATCCGGCAGGAATGTCATGTTAACTACTGACATCTAAGAAGAACCTTTAGCCACAAATGGTTGGCCAGCTTCTAAGTTAACGTGGACTAAGGCCAAGACATTTGTAGAGCTCAAACTGTAATCAATTTTTTTTTTTTTTTATGGTTGGAAAGTTCGGATTACTGTGTCATCTTCAGTTTTAAAGATTTATTAATAGTTGATCTCTCTTCCTATTTTCATGTTAGGGAAATGTATCAGAAAAATGTGATTTTAAAATATTAATAGTTCTTCAATACCATTTATTTCCAAAAGATTATTAACCAACCCCCATCATCCTGCCCAGGTTAGCATTGTGTTGACTTTCCTAATCTTCCTAACCTTTAAATACATTTATAATTCAAGTATACTTATAAATTAAATATTTAAATTAAAATAATTTAAAGTAGAAAAAAATCAAAGCTTCAAAACAATAGATCTTCTTAAATGTAAAATTTGATAGTTGGATCACATAATGATATCCTTTTGTTGTTGTTTAGGAGAGGTGGGATATTTTTCCACATTGGTTTATTATTAGTAGTGGTTTATTTTTCCACATTGGTTTATTCCACCTTGGTTAATGCTATTGACTTACCTTCTTTGCCCATTTGTCCAATAGATTTCTTAGAGTACCCTTACTAATTTATATAAGCTGTTAAAATGTTTCAGATATTTTCTGTCATCTTGTACAATGTTTTTCCTCAATATCCCTGCATTATTATTTTTAAAAACATAGAGGTTTACACATTTTTTGTTCCCTCCATCGAGCTTTTTATCTTTTCTTGAGATACACTTTTAGAGGTAGAATTGCTAGAATCAAGAGATTGAATTTAATGGCGTTTCAGTGACAATACCAGCCTTTTGAAAAATATCTTTGTAGGCATTCTGCAAAAGGAAGAGGAAAAATGTACCCAGGTCAATTTTTCTTAGAATAATGCTTAGCATTTAAATTACTTTCTCATAATAGGCTTTTAGATTTTTTCCCCCTCTGGGATATAAAACAGTTAACATCATGTAACAGTAAATGCCTTTAATGTAGATGTCTGTTGCTCTTACCCCAGCAAGCTCTTCCCTGAGGAGAGTGCTGCTGATTGTTGACTTGGAGCACTGGCCAGGCTCCTTGCCATCTGCTCCTCCTCACTAATCAGTAACTCAACAAGTAGATGTGTGTAAAAAGGGAAAGTGGAATACTTTCTAAAATCTTGAGGGTGAAGATGTTGAAAAAAGTCCGCCAATATAGTCAGGGTTGTGGATTTTTATTGTCTGCTTACTTTCAGTTAATTTTATAAACTGTTGGGACACTTCCAATTTATTTTGCAGATAGCAGAAGAGGTGCCTAACCTTGCTTGTGGCCACTCAATAACTCAGTGATTAGAGATGAGTTTTTATTCCTGGTGCAATCAGTGGTGTCTACTGAGGGAAAATCAATGCTCCTAGGTAGCTTTTCCATCTTAGCTTATGGTCTCACTGCACACAGCAATTGTTACATTCTTTGCCAGTATCCTCTAACTCCTAAATCTGTACTGTCCAACACCATAGCACTAGCCACCTGTGGTTATTTAAATTAAATTTGATTCAGTCCCTTGGTCACACAAGCCACATGTGGCTAGTGGCTGCCATATTGAAGAGTCCAGATACGTAACATTTCTATCACTGCAGGAACTTCTTCTGGAAGATGCTTTAAACTTTCCTTGATCAGCAGACAGTGTTGGCCACATAATGTAAGAGAAATTTATTCACACATTTCCTGATTTTAAATGGAAATTTCTTAGCATCCTTTTTCTATCTTTCCTTTTATTTCAGAGGTGGAGTTCATCCTTTCCAAAGTGATCTTTTTCCTCATGAACTGATGGGAAGCAATGGATTGTACCTCTCCCTCCTTCCCTGGAACATCCTTTTGGCCTTGCAGTATTCAGCTTCTCTCTATTTTACAAAGCATGCTCATAGGCCACTACCCCGTTTCCCTACTGCTCTTCACCAAATTTTTCTAATAGTCTGTACACCTATTATAGCCTATACAGTTTCTCACCACTTACTCTTCAGCCCTTACAACCTAGATTTTAACTTAATTTCTGACATTGTGCTGAAACAGCAGTCATAGGGTTACCAGCTGCCTTCTGATTGTCAAACCCAGATAGCCTTATCTCAGTCACCTTCTTCCTCGACATGGAAATAATTTGATGCCATGGGGCAAGTCTTCCTTACAATTCTCTTCCTCCTTCACTTCTACAGTGTAAAGGGGTTCTGTTTTGGCTGTCTTCTCCTGATTCATTTGTTCAGTCACTTCCACCTCCCATGTTTCATCATCGCCCACCTGTGTATGTCAGTGCAGTTCTAGTTTCCTTGCATTTCCATTTTCTCATCCATGGCTCTAGTTATTACCCACTTTCTGAGAATTCCCAAACGATGTCTGTAAACCTGGTCTTTTCCCAGAACTCAAGATCAAAAGGTCCAGTATATGCTGGACATCTCTGTTAAGATTATTCTGCCTCTATCTCAACATTAAGACATCTGGGCATGCTTTCCTCCTGGTTTGTTTATATATGACAAATTATACCAGCATGTCCCAAGCCGTGACTTTTCACATTTTTCCTCACTTACTGATTCCATTTGTTTGCCTTAGCTAGCATGTCTGTGTTATCACTGTGATATTAATAGTCTTCCTGGCCATCCCTTACTCCTAACCTTCCCCCTAACCCATTTTAGGTCTGGGTCTATTTTTCTCTGACCTCATATATTCCACCAGTACTGGTGCCGTTACTTCCATTCTCTCTATTCTTCACTCATGCTGTTGTTAGACAGATTTCCTGAAGACCATTAAAAAATGCATATACACAACGCAAACATGTGTAATAATTACCAACTTAAAATTAATAATACCAATTTAAAATAAATATTCCCATGGTTGAAAAGTCAAAATGTACCAAAAGGCACTTAGTGAAAAACTTTGCTCCCACTTGTGTCCTTTATCTTCTCTTATGCAGTCTTCCCAACAGGTAGCCATGGTTACCGGTTTATTTTTTAGAAAAATTTTAATGTGTGTACAAGCGCATATATATGTATGTGCACAGAAATTTTCCTTTTCTGCAAATGTTAATATATGAAATATGCTTTTCATACTATCCTTTGTGTTTATTTCTAAAGAATATATCTTGGTGATCTTTCATAAAGAGCTCCTTATTCTTTTTTTACAGCTGTATAAGATTCTTCTGTGTATGTGCCATAATTTATGTAACCAGTCCTCTCTTGATGGGCATTTAAATCATTCCCCACCCTTCACTGTTCCAAACACTGCTGCAAAGAAAAACTCTTTGATAAGTCATTCTTCTCTTATGCAAGTATAAGCAGGTCCCTTGTGAGGATCACTGTGAGAGCCTGTTATTTTCCGCCTGTTCATTTACTGTTCTTTGACCCTCCACTGCCCCTGCTGCTAGTGCTTTGCTTCTTATGTACCGAGTTGCAGTTGCTTCAGCCCACTCATAGTCCTTAGTTCAGAAGCCTTCAAGGACTGCCCGTTGGGAATAGATCTGTCTCTGTCCTGTCAGTGTGGGAGGAGAAGCAAGCAGTGCAATTCACCATAACAAACTGTGGGAGCACTTGCCGCTGTTTCCTGTTGGGCTGACTTGCCGTTCCCCCAACATGTTCCATGTGTTTCTGTTGTCTTGCTTTGCACAGAGTGTTTTCCCTCTGTTCACCATCTTCTTTCCAGATCCACTGCATCCTTTGAAACTGAGCTCACAAGCCACCATATCCATGAAGCTTGATTCCTGCTCCCTTCTGCTAAAAATAATCTAGCTTTCTACTGAGGACTCTAACACAGCATATCTTTTTCTGTGCTGGATTACAATATCTGTGCAGTTCTAATTTAGCTACTCGTTAGTAATTCCCCAGACATAAGGATAGATGGTGCTTTGTTTTGTCATCCCCCCAAAAGTCTCTTAACATGGTGTCTTGCATACACTAATGAATGAAAAAGCAATATTCAGTATATTCTTGTCTGACATGATGGGTTCAAGAAATACTTTTAATGCAGAAATCATCACCATTCTTGTGCATTTCAGCTATTTTTTTTTAATTAAAAATGCCTTTATTCTTCCTCCTAGGATATTTTGAAGAGCTTACCGTCACAAAGTCTTACATTCCTAGTGACTGCTCCTGTGACCTCCTAGAAATGAGGGTGCCATTCCATTCCATATTTATTCTGTTGCCAGCTAAAAGCACTGGCAGGACTAATTATGGTCCATATTACAGTACCACAAGACCTTAATCTGTGATTTGGAATCATGGGTCTCTTTATTATAGCTGTTTTTATTATGAGATTGATTGCTTTTCTGATAACTTGAATTTTAATTTACAAAAAAGTGAATAAAAATTATTAATAAAATCTAATCTTTCCAGTGCAGTTTTGACTATAACAACCTTAGCGAGTAAAGCAGTAAATTCCATGCATTTAAGAATACAATGGATCCAGGGTACCCTGTGTTCAGACTGGGATGTCACTGAGATATGGCCACTCCTATGGTGACGACTTCTTTCTCTGCCAATAGGTTTTTGAAGAACCCTCCATCAGCCTTTTTGCTCTGGAGCATTGTGAGGGAAGAGAGTTACATCTAGAAGAGGCTGTGAACTCTGTTCTGAACAAGGACCTGCACTTCTACACCCAGTCTGTGTGGGTAAAAAGTGGACTGTAAGTACGGGAGAAAGGCTTGGTCTGGTTCAGTCACTGTTTTAAGGCAGAGTTGCACAGTTGCAAACCAAGTCCACTGTGTAGTAGTATGCATTCAAGTGGTCTTGAGGAAGAGCCTTTTGGGAGAGAAGGGCTACCATATGGTCACAGCATGTATCATAGAGTAGATCAATCAGATGACTTTACCCAGTTGAACTGACTTTCTTTTCAGAAGAAATTTCAATATCCCAGCAACTTTGGTTAAGACAGTTTCCTGCTTAAGGCAAGTGACTGCTGGCCAGACGAAGTGCGGTGTTGTTTTTTAATAGCTGTGTATTCTAGAGCAGTTCCCTCCGGGGTACTCACTTGCCTGAGGACTACACTGGTTGGCCCAGCCTGCCTACCAGTATTGTTGTTCATCTAGGTTATCAGTCAGTCCAGGTAGACCCAGGGGCCTGTGCTTTTACAAATTACAAAGCTGCCTTTAAGAAAAAATTTAAAATTATGATAGAAATATTAGATATGAATGTGAACATTTAGGACAGAAATTATGAGAAGTCTGCAAGTGAGGGGCCTTGAAGTTGAAGCTCTATTTGCTTCCTGGAAAATCTGCCTCTGAAGCCATTTCTGAAGAGTCCGGCATATAAACCAGTGCCCGCTCCTGCACTGTTAGTGTTCTGGTAGCAAAAGTCAACTACAAAAACACACATAGCTCTTGATGGTTCATTAAAAAGTGGCTTTAAAAGTTTGTCTGTGACTTTGAAATTATGTGATAATCAACTTTGCTGGTTTAAAGAGAAAGCCAATAATACAGGTGGAGTTGAAAATTTAGCAAACTATTACAATAAGTGGCTTTTATATTATATACATGTATAATAGCTTCAATTTTCTTCTGTAAAACATATTAAATGGTTTGATGTTTATTCAAAACCAATTGATTTATTCTATCTAAGCATAAGATGCCAATATATTATTTAACAATTAACTAAATTTTACATCCCTGTGATATAGGTCTTTCACAACATTTTAATCCATTTCTTTCCTTTACATTTCTGAGTGAAATTGATATTTGACTCACTTCTGAAAATTTCTCACTTCATTTTTTTCTGGAACACTGGTGCCATTTTATCTTGACATTCTTATTTCTTCTCTTTGGCTTGTTAACCACCTACTCTCACTATTCCAAATTCTCTTTAAAAAGAATTTGAATATGGAGTAAGGAACAGGGAAGGCTGCCTAAGGATTTTCCTAGGTTACAGAACACTGCTTAATGTACAGCCAGCTTCCCTTAGTGGCAGGTTGGGTTTGTTTTGTTTTAATCCCCATGCTATGCCACATCTTTGATCTGTGATGATGTCAGCCATGTTTAAATGCACCATCCCACACAGTTTTCCAACTGTAGAATTCATTTAAATCAATACATAATTAGGTACATTTTCCTAAAATCTTACCTAGATTTTATAACTGAAACTTCCCTGCCTGTTTAAAGAATCTGCGGTGGGAGAGGTGGCCAAGCCTGTCTGTGGTCATGCTGACCTGCCTCTGCACCTAGTCTGATTGATTAGATTTCTGGAGGAAGGAGGGGTCAGGAATGGGCTATCCATTTCGTTCCTCTCTCCAGAATTTGGCCAGGTCTGATCTTGGTTGTGGGGAGCAAGGAGGACTTTTATTAGTGGTGGTCAGGTTAAGTCAGTCATCCTTACCCAAGGTTTCATAGCTGTAATACATCAAGCTTTCCTCAGCTCTTCGCTTCTCCCCACAACTTACGCACAAGTTGATATCTTTTCCTGCATTACCTGAAGCACAAGTCCTTAAGGAATATTGCACTTTGTAAGTTTTAGAAGTTTTTCTCTGGAAAATCGAGGGGCTGAAGTTGCTGCCATAGCAGCACAAGCAACCCTCTGTAGCTTGCGTCCTCAGCCCTGGATGACCCTGTTCCTGAGCTCTGGTCCATCTGATAAGCAGGCTGCCTTGCCTGTTGCTGGTGCTCTTTGCCTCATCCACAAGGCTTTACATCCCTTGGTGCAAGCCAGGACAAACCCTGCCATGATTCCAGGTTCTTTAGCAAAATAAAGCAAGGCAGTCATCTCATCCTCCACACGCTTTCTTAAAGCACTGTGTACACTGACCTTGAGTCCTGCTGAGAATTTCAGGTCCTGTTAGTGACTCCGGCACATTCACTTTAGTCATCAAGCTTAGTAATCACCTCAAGTGGTGCTCGGAAGACTTTTTCTGTATAGAGCCAGATAGTCTTTTCAGTTCATGGGTCATTTGTCTGTGTCATAACTACTGAAGTTGCTATGGTAGTGCAAGAGCAGCCGTAGCCAATCCTTAAAGCAGTGGGCATGACTGTGTTCCACTAAATCAGTCTTGAGACTCCAAACTCCAGACTTGAGACTCCAGTGTACTTTTATACACTTTAATGCCGCCAGAGTTGAAGGCAAGGGTCTGGAGAAGGATTCTCAAAGGAGGTAGGCCTTGAAGAAAGAGGGTGATGGGGAACTTCTGTGAACAATTCTAAGTAGTCTTGGTGGCTTTGGGGAAGCTGTGGAGGGAGGAGTGGAAGAAGATATGTCTGGAGAGTTCACTGGAGCCACACCTAGAGGCCCTGAAGGACACGTGATGTGACTCTAGGGCAGGAGTGTGTTTTTCTGCTGGTTAGGAGGTTATGGTCTGCCTTTGAATGTTAAAATGCTATGACAATGTTATCAAAGGAATATAGGATTTCAGAGGTGGAGGAAACCTTGCATTCATTTTGGAAGAAAGGAAACCAGCATTGTAACTGGAACCCAAATCTTCTGAGTCTAGGCCAGTGGGCTTTCTCCTACACCTCCCTGATTTTTGTTAGGAAAAAATGTGGTTTTAAAAATCTGCAAACCTAGAAGTTTATGAACGCTATAAGGCAAAGTGCAGATACTTTTGATGAGGGATTGCTTTTTTGTTTTGAAGTACACTACTATTTTCTTTCTTGTTCTCATAGATGGATAGCTTATGAAGGATCCAATTTCTTGGGAAGACAAATCCTACTCAGGCCTAATGAGATCCCAAACTGGACAGCATTCAGCAGATGGAAGACAATTGGTTCCCTCCGTCCTATGAAGCAGGTAAGGAGAAAAGAACTGTAAGATTCCAAATAGCTTGCTTTTGTGGTAGAAATGTGTCATAAACCACAACATCTGAAATAATGATCATTTAATTTAGTTTGACATCTACATAGTAGGGGGAGTGAATTAGGATGCAGATATCTTGTACATTTTAACCAATTTGTAAGACTGTATCTAAAGTCAACATTGGATTTCAGTTTTCAGTCCAAAGCCTCATTGGCCATGTTCACTTTTCGTGGAAAACTAAGATATCATAAGTTCTGTGGCAAACCTTGGTAACAGGAATGAACTTTGATACTGTACTAGTTTTAATTTCTAAGCATTTGGATATTCCCCTCCCTACTTATATAATACTCAGGAGGGATCCTGGCAATTTAATTAAAATAAGTATTTATTGCACACCTACTGCTTGTCAGTCTTCTGTTCAAAAGCTTCCCACTGCACTTAGAATACAATCTACCCCCTACCCCACCTTGCTCCTCCAACCTCATCTCTCACATGGCTGTGTCACAGGCATCTAAGTACAGAGTGCTTTCCCACTAAGACTTTTAACATGGGCTGCACCCTCTGTGTAGTGTTCTTCCCTCATTCTTTGACTAGTCATCCCTGTAAATTCTACTTAAGTGTCAGGTCCTCAAGAATGCCTCCCCCACCTTCCCTCCCAATCTACATTAGATCATAAAAGACCTGGGGGTTCTTTTTCTATAAAAACACTGTATGCCGTTTATAACCCTAGCATTATAGTTGGATTGGGGTCTCTCCCACTCTGCAGAAAACCCTGTGAAGTCAAGGACTGTGCATGTTTTGCTCATTGTTCTACCCCTAGTGCCTGAAACAATGTCTGGAATATTGTAGGAGCTGAGGAACTATTTGTTTAATGAAGGAATGAATATATCAGTGGATGGACCGATGATATTATGCAAAGTATAATGGAAAATATAAAGATAGATGTGATTTCTGCCATTATTATTAAAGCTTACATTTTTGTTGGGTAAAACATGTCCAACTCAAAGCAGTAACATAAAATGCAAAACAATGCATAATTATCCAAAAGCCACAGGCAGTCCCTGGTTCAGAGAAAGGAAGTATCAACATGTTTAGGAGTAGGAGGGAGGTTTCATGGAAGGTGGAAAACCCAAGTGAAACTGTCAGGGGTGTGACGGCCCGTGGATATGGCATTAGTACCTCTCTCTAATCTCTTTAGAACACTATATTGCTTGATTCCAACAACAGTCCTTTGAGGTAGGAATTATTCCCATCTTCTAGTTGGAATAATAAGGCTCTGAGAGAATAAGGCTCCAACTGGAAAATGGGGATAATGATTCCTACCTGTGACAATAGAAGCACATTGACGAAAGTCATCCAAGTGTCAGAACCAGGATTTGAACCCAAATCTACGCTTTAAAATCTGTGTTCTGAAGCAACCACACTCTACGTTCCGTCAGCCTAAGATGAGCACTTAGAGAGTACCACCTATTTCAGGCACTGAGCTGAATACAGCCTAGTGGGTCTAAATGCTGAGGCTCTGATGTTCTGACCTGACACTTATTTAACCCTAACTTAAGTGTTAAATAAATGGTAACCAATAAAATATTAACCTAATTTATCTTCTCTCACCCTCTTCACATGCACATGTGCACACACACCATGCTTATCCCACCACTCATGAGTTCCACACACACCATGCTTATCCCACCACTCATGAGTTCTGTTGGTTCGAATCCTGGCTCTGCCATTTGTAAGCAATGCAGCTTGGTGAGTCACTTCATTTCTTGGCACCTCAGGTTTCTCACTGGTGAAGCAATGATCACATTGCTTACATGTCATTGCTGTGACGGTTGAGTAAGATAATGTGTATGAAGTCTGATATGGCTCTGGCTCATATTACTATGGTAATACACTGATTTTGAAAGTGTGTTTTTTTATTGTTCACAGTGTCTCTTGAGATGCTCTTTTGAGGGATACTGAAACATTAGTGGCTTTCCTGGCAGAGTGTGTGGTACAGGATCTCATGACCTTTACATCTTGCTTATTCCCCACTCCTATCATGTGGAACAGGAAGTAAGCCCACTGAAAAGCCATCGGAAAAAGCAAAGTAGAGATAGGAATTCAGTTTAGCTTTTACTAACTACATCATAATGCTGACCCTCTGTTAGAGATTTTAGTAGCTAAGTTCAACACTGAAAATATGTTCCTCATTTTTTAATGGTGGTTCTTTGTTGGGGAAGGATGTCCCTGCCTATTGCTCAGGATTCTCTGGTAAAGGACAGAACAGCCACCTCTACTTTTACAAGGAAGTTGTTTTTTTTTTTTTTTTTTTTTTTTTTTAACAAGAATAGTATGCTGTTTTCTTTCTTTGTGCTTTAGGAGCTCCCCGATTCCTCTTCTGATTAAACATTTAATTTCAAAATAATATTTTAATAGATTATTTTTCCTGTTGTTTATTTAGGTCACAGTTTTGAAATCCAACAAAGGAATTCTGAGTTTCTAAAATAGTAGTGTGTGGGTCACATTTAAATTTGTGGTAAGGTTGTTGGTACTGCTTTAGTTCATATTCTTGTTTAGAAATTCAGGACTAATTAAAATGTGATCCTCTTTGAGGCTGGGAATTAGGAAGTCACTAAGGTACTTATAATGTATATCAGTGTTTTTAAGTATAATTACAGAGGAGTCAGACTACAAATGTGTAATAAGGGTAATTAGTACCTTGCTTGAGTTAATTGATTAAAACTGTGATGTTTGGTCCTAAAGTAATTGGAATTCTGTCATCTGTGAAGGTCACGCCTGTTTTCTTATATGTACAAGGTAATGAAAATGTAATAAAGATATACTGAAGCCTCAAGAATTAATAATTGCAGTGGGAAATCAGGCTGAATTATAGACATTTAAGTACACTACTGTTGCGTTGTTAATGTTGGAAGTAGGGATTTGAAACACTTAAAACATTTTGCCAAGTAGACATCTTGTTCACCTGCTTTAAATGGCCAGATAATTTGCCCTTCTATTGGCTTAAGTGCTGAGAATGTGTATTTCCTTAGGAAGGCTTAATTACCAAAATTCAGTTGGCTTCATGTTGATCTATCAAGTTTCAAAAATAGTAGACTGTTCATTGGTGCTCTTACCGTATTACCTATTGCATTTACCTAAGCACTTATGTTTCTTAGCATGAAAGTGCTCTCAAGTAAGAGACCATTTGTTATTACTAAGCCAGGGTCCTAACTGGGATGGTAATGAGATGAACCAAAGGTGGGGATGTTGGGTGTCATGTATCTTATTACATTAAGGCTGGAGGCCTAAGTCATAGGGCTGAAATAATGGTTTCTGTTGTGCTTCGATTATGTCCCCTGCCTTTCATTGTCTTACATGGCCACCTTTGCAATTCGTCTCTTATTCCCTGTGCCTAAGAGCAACTAGTGCATTTCAACATAGGTCTGAGAGCATCCTAGTTAAGAGGAACCTGGCTTCTTTGTATCTGTGTTCACCTTATTTGTAAAACTAGGGTCATAATTGTACTTTCTTAATAGGTTTTTGTGGTTATTCTGAAAAATAACAATGGCACAGAATGCATTTAGCATGCTGCTTACACATACTACATGTTCAATAAATATTAGCTATTCTCCTTAGAGGCAAGTCCCAGGTTTAATATTTTAAAACTTTTTATATGTATCTTAAAACTTCCAGGCCAAGGGGACGAAGTCCTTTGTTACACAATTTTTGAGTATGTCAGTATAGTCATTAAACGTACATGGTCTCTACTTTTGAAGAAATAAAGGTCCTATGTAAACAAGTAATCACAGCTACTAGGGCCCTCAGCTGTCTGGGTTTTTCAAGACATCCCAGGGCCAACTTAATGGCATTTAGTCATAGCTCCACAGTATGTCTGATTGTCTTTCTGAAGTTGTTACAAAATCCTTGTAGGTAATACCTTACCCTTATTCTAACTGGCCTACCTCCCTCAGCACAGCTGGGACATACTAGTTATTGAATGAAACTCATGTCCCTAATTCTTTACCACCTCACTCCTCGCCACATGGAATTCTAGTGAAAGAAACTTTTACTTTATGCTGTTCAAAAGGGCCCTTTTCACAAAGTGTAATAGAGACTGTACAATTTAAGCTTTGTGCTCCATGGCCTACGGATTTACCATATTTATTTATGCAGATTTACTAAAGGGAATAAGAGTGAAACTGATATAACTAAGATAGTTACCTCTCACTTTCCCTCCCAGCTTTCCTCCTCTGGAATTATTCACTTCCAGATTCAAAAGTTTATTTCTAAATGGCTGTTTCTCCTGTCATAGCCTGCAGTGTACATCAGAATAAAGAACCGTGCCCAGGATGAATATCTGACAGTCACTGGAAATCTAGCAGACACCAGGGCAACATCTGTGTGCATTTCTCCCTATAGTGGAAAGGATACTCAGATCTGGCACTACTGCCGAGGACTCTTTAAATCCAAGGTAAGCAATCCCACTGATACAGTGCACCACTTTCTGGCCTCAGTTTTTTGTTTTGAAAACTAGAATCTTGTCAAATCAACTGGCATGATAAAACAGTGCAACTTCTTAGAAACAGGTGTTGATTATAAAAATACTGCCATATATTACTAAAACATTTATATAAAATTGACTTAATTTTTTTATCTAGATAATCCAGTTTCAATTTTTAAGTAAACACAAAGGTTATCACATACTATGGATATACCTAAGTGATTTTTTATTTACAACCAATGGTATAAGTCACCAGATCTAAGCTGGACAATGTGCTTTTGCAAGATATTCCTTACTTGATGGCCCAGATAAAATCAGCTATCTCTGATTCTAAATAGGTTGAAACCCTTTCACTTTCAAAGTATACAAAAGAAGCAGTAGAAAAAGAAAGCTGTTATTGGAAGAAGCTTAGAAAATAAAATTTAGGGTTGTTCTTTTCTATGACCCTCCCATTATGTTTAATGCATTGGGAATAGAACACTAGTTTTAAAACATTCAAACTGTGTTTTATTGTATCACCAATGGATTATCTACTTTTTCTCATGCTTCAAAAATGAAAAACATTTAAAAGTAATTATTATCTGGATATCTTTAGCCCATCATGCAATGTTTTCGTAAGAAAACCAAGTTCAGCATAATACATTTTAAGCAAACAAGGATTTAACATTTAATTCCAATTCAGCAAATCTTTATTGAACATCTGTGTCAGATGTAGACATCCTATTAAAAACAAGTACCTCTATTTCAGTTGGTTTATTTCTGTACCATCTCCTACCCACAGCCATAAAGAAGACATTAAAAAAGGCTTACTGAAATTATACTATATAGTATTTTTTTTAGACAAGACATACATACTTCATGTCTATGATTTGTTTACCTAAGAGAAAAGGGACCTAATTCAACTTACTTTAGCAAACACAGTACTGCCAATTAATCATTTCTTAACCCTTTTAGGCCAGTGATACATGTCTTGATGTGATTGGTGGCCGGGACACACCTGGAGCTAAAGTAGCTCTATGGACTGAACATGGGCAATTCAGGCAGAAGTGGAGACTGAATCAAAATGGAACTATCAGCTCTTATCTCAGTGATCAACTTGTCCTCGATGTTAAAGGTGGGCCTTTAATGATACCCAATGTTGGGTCCCTGGATATTAGTTTCAGTTCCACATCTCCTCATTTTGGGTAAAGGACATCCTTATGTATAAGAGAAATGTTACATCATTTAAAATTATGCTTGGAAAAAAGTTAAGATAGGCAGTTATACAAACAAAACAATTAGCAGAAGAAGCCAAACAACAAAGCTTAGGGTTTTTGTTCGTTAGTACAGTTGTAAAACTTGCATTTGCTACATGAACTCAGAACAGTTCTAAATTTGAAGCACCATAAACCCATGAATATCCTCTGTTTCTTAGAAACATCTCCAGCTTTTCGCCAGGAATTGCCATGGTCCTTCAAACACTCAGCTCTAATTTATGGTAGGCCTCAATTAACCTTGTTTTTGAATTCAGCAAGGTCAGGGCCAGTATTATTCATGGCTGTTGCTTTAATTGGGTTAGTCAGTTTTGTTGGTGTAGAAACAAAAACACAGTACCTGACATTCAGCCAGAGTTCTCTCAGAGCACTCTGTTCTAAAGAATCGCATTGTTAAGGCATGCCGCTTATACAATCATGTATTATACCTTTTAGTATTTCAATTTGAGTCATAATAAGGTCCAATTTGAGGTGAATAATGGCTAAGCCTGTTCAGACTCAGCTTCCCATTTCAGACTTCTTTGTAAATGACACATTAATCCACTGAAATGGTGAGCTGAACAGAAGCTTGTGAAAATTGTGAAATTGCTAAGCACCTGCCTGAACAAATAATCTTTTCTTTTGGAATTTCTATGTTAGGAGGAAATTATTGTGACAAGACTCATGTAATTGTAAATCAGCCCCTGGAGGGAGAAGAAACACAGAAATGGGACATTGAAATATTATGAGAGAATCAACATCCCTAGAAAGAGTGAAGAAGGAAACTCACATCTGTCATTGTCTCGTGGACATGGAAAGGAAACTACTATCCTCACACTCCTGGATCACTGAGCAGAATGAACATTCTCTCCAACCTCTGAAACTATCGCTCTTACCCACGGAAAAGCTCAAAATATTCTTGCCATTACTCAGTGTTCCTATAAAGAAAATATTATGATGTCTGGCAAAGGTTCTATTCCTGATCTCCAGCTGTGGTGAGCAAGTTTCCTGAAGTGTTTATTTTCTCTCCTATCCACCAAACATGAATCCTATTCCTGATGGCCTGTTATTGGACACTGGTGATGCTGTTATCCTGTAGTATTTATTAATATCCTACCTAGATGCTTGTATGAGTACAAAGCATAAGGAAACGGATTCCTATAGGTCAAGTCATACTTTTGCAAACAGATGAGTAATTTTTTAGCAACATCTGAAAATATATATTAAACTTTCCTAGATAAACTTTAAGGTTTCTATACTGAGACTGTTATAACACACCTCATAAGTATTTATTTTTACTTGTAACTAACCCCAGGCAGGGACGTCAGCTTTGTTAGGAATAAGGCACAAGTAGTAAAGTATTTTCTGTAGCTATTGTTTCCTCAGTCCTTCAAACTAGAACAGTACAAATAACCTATCCCCAAACTTGCACTCTTACATGTTAACCAAGACATCCCTTTAGGTGACAAGACTCTACAACAGTGGTTACCTGTCTCCATGCTGACACTTCATCCTAGATTTAAGGAGAGGCATTAATTTTTTATTTTTATTTTTTGCCTCAAGTGAAGAGAAATTTCAAAACAAAGTAGCATTTGAACCTTGACCTTACCATCTTTTTAAATAAATGTGGAGTTGATTTCTCTACTAAATAATACAAGCCTTACTTCTTCACTCCCATGGTAAGTAACTTTTATTTAAGTAAACTCAGGCAGGAAATCACCTTTGACTTGGCTTCCAGTAGTCATTACCACCTTTTACTGCACAATTCACAAGCGTTTTTCCTGCTGAATGGGATTGAGACTTACATTAAGACAACTTTTCCTTTTATCCCCAACTTTTGCCAGAAAGCAGAAAAATGCTCTATTTTTATAAAGATTAAATTATCTGGTGATATTTTTAAAAATATCAACCTATATGCACTTTAGAATGTAAAATAACAGTGAGTATTTTAAACTCGAAGACCCACTATTTTGAGTATTTTTTATAGACTGAGTTTTTCCATGTAAATACTGGGTTTTTTCCCCCCTCAATTTCAGGCTTTTCTCCATCTTTTAAGCAGCCTCTACAACTCCCTTTTGTCCATAGGTGTTGCGTGCCTCTCATTGTGGGGGAGAGCCCTACAACTCCCTTTGTCCATAGGTGTTGCGTGCCTCTCATTGTGGGGGAGTATTATTTAACTCCCTTTTGTCCATAGGTGTTGCGTGCCTCTCATTGTGGGGGAGTATTATTTAATAAAATTTATGTTACAGGATAACTTTTAGTGGGCAAGGGCTTGTCTATACACAAAGGTATGTATATTTTCATTGTAAAAAAACAATTTACAATTTTTTCTTATTTTAATTGTTGGAAATTTTTCTAGAGCCAAAGCAGCTCTTTAAAGAAGTTGTTTCTTCCAAAGAACAAAGCCAGGTTAATGACATTCAATTCTAAATGACACATTGGAATTGTGCCTTTTCTACCACACTGGATTAAATAAACTTGTCAAAATATGGTTTTTTCATTTTCTGAGACACTTGATAATTTGCTGTTCTTTCATGTGCCCCTGTTAGTACACTTGGCCAAATGACCACCTATAATAGGGAGGTCCCATGTTAATAGATACGCAGGTAAGGAAACTTGAATTCATCCTCTCCTCGGCTCAGGTCTTTGCTTTTCTTTTAATATGTGCATATAAAATAGTAGGCATTTGATTCTGCAAAGGCACTAGACTACTTGAATCAAACATTCTGTCCAGAGGGATAATACCAGGCTTTCCCTTTCGTCGTCTGTAGTAAGTTTCCGGTCCTTGACAGAAATAGTGGAACTGTTCCAAATTTGCTTCAGTGCATCCAAATGTGACAAAGGAAAGCGAAGTCCATGAGACTGAAAAAGGATACATTAATTAGTCAAAAATATGTATACTACTTATGTCACTGAAGTGGCATTTTCCTGTAAATTTATTCTCAATACATTATTTTTGATACCCTTCATGAGTATTTTAGATATGCTACAATTAGATAACATAAAAGATGCCAACTTCTATATAAAAGGCATCCTAATTTATGTAGTAAGTGATATTAGTAATTTGAAATGCTTTACATTATACCATTCCTATAAGGCTGCAGGTCCCAGCTAGTAAGCTTTAAAACTGGTGTGCATGTATCACAGAAATGTCTGACTTAATCATCCCCATGAAGGAGCTCTGTGAGTAGTGCAAAATGGTAAGTCCACAGTGCAGCCATAAAAAGCATATTACCTATAAATCAAAAATAATCAATTCTTCCCAACCGCCACCCAAGGCACAGGATAGGCATTTGTTTTCAGTTGGAACAAACCTCTGTTTCCTCCTCATTCCCCATCATGTGTGTCTCTCTCCTATTCTTTAAGGAATGATAGATGTACACCATCTTTTCTTGAGCTTCATCCTTTGGGGAAAAAAATAAATGCATTAGGCCATCAACAACACAACACCGAGGATGTCAGTGCTAGAAAGGTTTTCCAATAGGTCAACATCAAGAAAAATCTTAAAAGCCTTGGTGCTCAAGTGAAATTTATTGAATACTGTAAAGAATCCTTTTGGCAAAAAGTGATGGGTGTGTGCATCCACACAATGTCTACACTTCATTAGTCACCACAGGTTACTATTTGTATGTGGCAATAAGTTGTTAAAACAGCTGGAGTGCTACCTGGAAGAGCATCTTCAGGATTTAATGAAAAAACAATGATTTATGTATCACCTTATCAATGAAATGCTCAGTTTTTAAAATCATACCTGCACTGTCTTTTTGGAATCAAAAAAATCTGACATTCCTAGGTATAAACTGACAATTTATGAACATCATGAAGTCATTAACTCCTGAGAAATACCAGCTGTGTGATCTATAAAAAACTCCATTTCAATTACAGTACCCTTCCACATGGTCCCTATCTCCTTTCACCCCCCATCTTACACAATGCAGTTTATCGTCTCTTCCACAGCCTTTAGTCATTCTTTGTCACCTCTTAGATAAGGGCAAAAAAATCTTAGCGTAGCGTACGATGTCTCAAACTGACTGGTTATCAGAATCACTATTTTTTTTTAAGACAGGGATGTAGGAATGTGTACTTTTGATTCCAAAAAGACAGTGCAGGTATGATTTTAAAAACTGAGCATTCCAAGTCTGGCCCTGACGGCTGGAAAATCTGGTTATTGAGACATGTTGAGAACCCCTCTTATCCCCCTTGATCATTCATAGGATAGCTCCTCAGAGAGCTGATTAGGAGGAATGGGGAAAAGCCATATGGTATGAGATGGTTCTTAGGACTGTACAGGGAGCTCTATGAAAACATAAATCCAAAGGCTCCAAGACCAGATGAAACTCAGGAATTTATAATTTTAAAAAGCTTTCCAATCGACTCCATGATCAGCTAGCCAGTTTGGGGAATCACTGGGCTAGGAAGCAAAGTTACAGAATATAGACTTTGTTGTCCATAATCTACAGGATAGAGTTTAAGGAGATGCAATATCCACAAAACCACATAGAGAGACAGATGTGCACAGTGTGGAGGACTGGGGCTGGGAAACTCATGAATGAGGTCTGTGGCTGTCCAAGCAGGAACAGTAAGGCCTGAAGTAGGATGGGAAGCAAAGACTAGACATCAGTCACCACATAAAGGGAATGAAGGAATGTTCTGTGAGGATGAGGGCAGGAAAATATGGAATTGGAACTGTGAGATTTGGTCATCATCTGACCTGAAGAAATGGCATTAAACTGAATGCAGGTGGATTCCTAAAGATGGGCAGAGACCAGTGGTTAATCTGATAACCGAGGCCTCTGATGAAAAACACCCTGAGAAGAGAGGAAATCTCCCTCTTGGATACTCACAGATTGATCCTGATCTGGCAGTACTGTGAGGACAATGTGGTCTTTAAACTGCAGTCTCACTACACTGTCCAACCTTGGTAACTTTCCACCTAGAAAACCCCAAAGAGAGAAAGCCGACCTTCAAAAAAGGAAACCGGCAGATTCAAACTTGCTTACAGACATAGGAAACACATTTACTAATAATTTACAGGTGAATCCAAACATGGCATACACTCCAACTGAAGACTCTGCTTACCCCAACATTGTACTGATATTATAGTTCACGTCGTTATGGAGCTCATTCTTACAGTGAAGACAGACATAGAATTAGATAAATAACAATGTAAGTTTATAAGTACAATAAATAGACAAAAATAATACCATCGAAGTACACACATGTAAGTATCACAGCACATAAGGCTGTGGTGCTTTCTGCACAGAACACTCACTCCTCTAGTTTCTATCCTCTACAAGCTTCTTGCTCAACATGTGGACTCTGGAAGGACGACCTGAGTTCAAAATTGCACTATTCTACCAATTAGTAGGTGTGTGACCCTGGTCAATTATTCAGTCTATGTAAGTCAAGCATAGTATCCTATAAAAGCCATCTAATGAAGTCCACAGAAAAAAATTTTTTTTTCCAAATTGGATTTAACTTAGTGGAACAATACAAAATAAAAACAGACTAGCCTTACAGGGTCATCTGCGTGGGGAAAGAGTTGTGAGGGATCATCACTTTATTGAATATAATGGCTAAGGAAAACACTGAAGTAATCTGGGCCATAAGCTGGTGCATAAGCAAACTGTTCTGCTAAAGATTAAACCAGGTGCTTGTAAAACATTTGCTATTTTGAATAGATACAATCAAAAACAAATTCTAAGCTTCCTCCAAAGACTATAATAAAAATGTATACAGAATCAGTGTTGGAAGGGACCTTATAGATTATCTCAGTGGTTCTCTCTTGGTCATAAATAAGAGTTTTATAAAAGTTAGTAAAAAATACTCTTTTCACTCAACCCTGAGAAAGAACAGCAGCCAAAAAGCTGGCCTGGCAGTCACAGCTAGGTCTTGGTGTTCTCCTGTTGAACACAGGCAGTTCCACAGAATGCTAACATCAGAGATCACTCTGTGACCGTGATAGGTGAAGACAAAACACCATCGCTCCATACATACTCATGTCTAAACTCAGGCAAGGCAAGAACATATTCCAAACCACAACACTGACCAAACGTCCCCCTACTCTGGCTAATGAGTGACCACTTCTGCTTTACCACTGATAACTTCCTCCTCATGCATTCCTCCTCCTACCTACCAGATAACATTTAGGAGACTTAATCATAGAATCCCTTCCATTTCCTGACAGCATCCAATCCAGAGCAAAGTCCTGCTTCCTTGAACCCTCTCCAAAATCACCTTACACCTGAGTCCTATAAATCTCTTCTAACACCCTTTTACTGAGATGCCCTGCAGTCCCCAATGGTGTGTGGTCTTCCCACTGCACCAAGTCAATAAATCCAATTTGGTCTGAATTCAGGAGTATGTTCTTGGTGGTCTTTGCTATACGACATTGACATCATCCATCCAGAAGTATGTTATATCAATTGCAGGCTAAATCTGTCATAAATTAGGCACCTGTACCTTGGAGAAGGCTGACAATAATCTTGGACATTTCTTGAATCTCACTGGCTGATGGCACCCATTTTACCTATGCTATGATTTGGATGTTTGTGCCATCCAAATCTCATGTTCAAATTTGATCCCCAGTATGGAGGTGCAGCCTAAGGGGAGGTGTTTGGGTCACATTGCAGGGAGCAGATCCCTCATGAATAGATTAATTCCCAAGGGCTGGGGGCGGTGAGTTCTTGTTCCGTTAGTTCCCATGACAGCTGGTGTTAAAAAGAGCCTGGCACTTATCCTCGCTCTTGCTTCCTCTCTCACCATGTGTTCTGCAAATGCCGGCTCCCTTTCTCCTTCCACTGTGAGTGGCCTGAGGTTTTCTCCAAATGCAGATACCAGCACCATGCTTCTTGTACAGCCTGCAGACCATGAGCCAAAAAAACTTCTTTTCTATATAAATTACCCAGCCTCACGTATTCCTTTAAGCAACACAAACAAAGACAACCCATCCCTGACTTAATTCCAACAAGATTATTTCAATGTTCAAATTTTTAAAACTTCCTGAAGACTATGAATACTAGAGTACCTATAAATATACATATTTCTCACCCAAAAGGACAGGGTTCTTATTTCCCATCAGGCTGGGATACAAGTTCTTTCCAAATGACTTCTAAGATGCAGGTTACTAAAGGTTGAGTGCAGCACATCTTGTCTGACCATATACACTAAGGATGGATGTAGGTCCACATTAACATGAAAGCACTTCAAACTTTCCATCTGTTCAAAGAGGAGCCTACCCAGAAAAACCGCAAACATCCTGCATTAGCCTCTGACCACCCAGAAGAAAACAGCAAGCTCCACCTGGTGTTGACAGCTCTGCCCCATCTCCCGCAGAGTAAGGGGGGAGTCTGTGCATAATAAAATCCTTCTTCATGTCTGAGGAAAGCAGTTCTTTGGTGCCCTCCAGCCGGTCCGCAAGCGTTCTCAGGAAGCCACTTAATCGTCTTGTTGCAACAGTTGTGGATTCCACCTGCTAGGAACACAGAAGTGAGTCCTGGCCCAGATGCCAGCAGAGCTTACTGCCCAGCTCAGTCTCCACAGTACACTGCAAAACTGCCAGCCACCCGGGATGGACATTAATCCATGTCATTCCAAAGGGGAAGGGACAACCTGAGCCCCTAAGAATATCTCATCATTTCCTTATAAACACTGTTCATTCTAAGCTGCCCATTGTTTGCAAAAACTTTTCAGAATTTTGCCTAGAAATAGAGATCCTTGGGAAAATGGTACAGTCTAAGCTCTGCCTTTTGGAAAGCAGGTCACTGTCCTAAGACGAATGCTTCAGACAGAGAAAGCAACCTTTGCTCAACTCAGCTCTAATCCACTCATCTCAAAACTAATCAAATAACACCCCTGTTTCAAAAGTAATAAAAGAACAGGAGGCCAATGAATACACTGAGGCCAGGATCTCCAGTACAGTGAGTCTCTCTTAACTAGTAATCTGATGTGTGCTAAATCTACAGTTCTCCTGGCCATATGATTCATTTACTCAACCACCATTCTCACACTGCCTGCTACTGCCACTGTGAAATACAGAGCTGTCTGTGTAACATCACAGTTCTCTGGATCTCCACTCCACACACGGCACTCCACTCATTCTGCAAATCACACAGCTCAGCAGTGCGGCACAGTAGACAAGCCTGGCTCATGTGGGAAGAAGTATCCTGTGGTCCTTAAGGTAGGACTTCAGCTGGCCTGGGCTGCAGCTACCATCTTTCATTCCTAGCTGCCTTTACTCCTTACCAGGAGCAGCTGCCGGGGTATGCCGGCCCGTAATTCCACGTCTTCCTTTGCAGTATCAAATACAAGCCCCGAGATGGTATCCAAAAGGAAATCTCCCCATGAACTAGGATATGCACCAAGGGGGGAAAAAAAAGCCAAAACAGTGAGCACATACGAAATATACATAAAATAGTTATTGCTAGTAAAGCCAAAATCTACGGATTATGGCTTCCCTGTCCAGGCATTTTGAGTTCCATTAACTGGACATTACTCAGCATGGAAATCTAAGACCTTCATCAACCACCCTGTGTCCTCCCTCCCCATTCCAGACACTCACTTGCAAAATTAAAAGTGGGAAGCTAGGCTTCAATACTGATTTCTCTTAAAAGCTCTCAGAAAATCAACCCTAGACTTCCATAAAACAGGAAGTTCAACAGACCAAATTTTTAACAAAAGTGTCTATGAGAGGAGATTTGTAGGAAATTTAAACAGTCATTATAGGACCTAAAACCAAATTTTATGTGCAATAAATACAACAGAAATTTGGGGTAACAGCAAGATCTCTGGATAGTGTAATTATTTGAACAGTTGTATGTTACATTTTCCTTGTCACTTACAACAAGGGATGCTATTCCTGAATAAAATATCTACCATCAATAATTCCAAAACAATTATGTCTAGCAGTGGTTTTACCAGGGGATAGAAGCCAGTGACTAAAAATACCATCTAGGGACCAGCATCCCTATTCAATTACCTTTGCTTTCTCTGGGGTATCTGGTCCTAAGTGTGTGCCAGTGTAAGAAACGCACTCTGTGGGGATGCTCTCTTTAAACATTTCTTAGCAATTTAACATTTTCCTGTGTCACCAGCAGATTTCAAATTGCCGGAGAGTGGAAAATGGAAATTCACAGTATGACTTTTACTTCTCACTCAGTAAGCAAAATTAACACTGTTATGCTTCCCTCCCAGAAAAGTTGCAAAGGAGGACAAAAGGAGACAGTTTTCCCAAGACGTCTACTACCTGGCAGCCTCACTGCTTTGTGACTTAATGTGATATCCAACCCTGCATCTTTCGTTGAGTCTCAACCTGGAGGGCGTATGCTGATCTCTCAGCACATAAAATATGTGCTTCCTTTGCAGGGTTTTGTAGGTGGAAGTCATACAGCAACAGCTCGTGGAGGAATTTAGTAGAAGTTAAATAGTGCTCTTCTAAGAATATTCGGAATAGATATAGGGACTTCGCACAATTTAGGAATATCTCTTGAAGGGTTCACTTTGGTAAAACAACCAAATCAACGACATACAGCAGACCCCCAAACACTCCAACAATGCTACCTCGAGAGGTGTTAGGAAGAGGCCCCAAATATTCACCTTTCCATGGCATCTGAAGGAGCATTAGGCTCAAAGCACAGGATCATTTCTGGGGAGCAATGGCCTGAAAGTCACATCTTCTCATTCTAGCTCCAGCATCACTGACCAAGACACAGGTCAAAATCCAGCCTGGACACATTGATCATGGTACCCACCCACGACCCTAGGCAGGCAACTTCTGTAACTTAGGAAGCTCTTCTCCAGCCCCAGCTGAATGGAGAAGAAATGAATAGGACCCAGGGGCAGCCGGCCAGTTCTTCACTCTTGGGACTGGGAAACAGAGAGTGAGTCAGGTCCTTAGCAGAAGCAAAAGCTAATAGGATCAATGAGATAGAGGGAGGTCAGAGCACCAACTGGTGATAGCTTAATGTTATGAGTAAACAGAAGCTACAGAAGGAATAGAAGGGAGAAAACACCAGTCGCTAGAAAACCAGTTGGTAGCAGCAAGAGAAACGGAAAAGAGAATTACAGAAAGGGAGCCGCTGAGAAACACTAATGATGGGACACCAGCAGATGCACGATGTTCAAAGGGCCAAACTATGTGGTCCAGAACTGCTCTGAATCCAGAATGGACTTCTGATTCCAGCCTCTCCGTGGCCTGGCCCTTCTATAGTTTCTAGGACTCACTCCCTCAAGTGACTCTGTGCTTCTTGAGCTGGCTTTGGTGACTTTCTGTCCCTTAAGATGCAAGGAACCTACCTAGCCACAGTGATGAGAGCATTTTTCAAAATGGAAGCCTAATACAAGCTTGGGCTTTCTACTTGTGGGAAAGCTAGCACTAAACTAGGGCCAGACCTCAGCTAGTTCCTCCAGTAAGTGTTTTATATGTAGAGGTGAAATTCACACTGAAAAGTCTGATGAAGCAGCAGAGGTATGCTTACTAACTTGTTTTGCAAGTTCTGGCCTTGAAGGTAGGAGGGGACTTGCCATTCCTTGGACCTAGAATGTCCGCTCCTACTCTGATCTGCTGACCCACCCCTACTTACTCATCCTTAGAGACTCACTCAGCACTGGTGTTATTTCTGAAGCCTTCTCTAACGCCCCTACTTAGCTAAATGCATTCCTCTAAGCTCCAAGAGTCTCCTCCGCAAACCTACAATAGAATTTATCACATCATCTCTTCTACAACCACTTCCAAAGTATAAGCTCTCTCAAAGTCCCTTCAATACAATCTTTGAATTCCCAGCAACAAACACAATGTCTAGTACGTATCTGCTTAACACATTAACTTATAACTAGTTTTTTTTTTTTTTTTTCCCCTGAGACAGAGACTTGCTCTGTCACCCAGGCTGGAGTGCAGTGGTGAGATTTGGTTCACTGCAACCTCCACCTCCTGTGTTCAAGTGATTCTCCTGCCTCTACCTCCAGAGTAGCTGGGATTACAGGTGCACACCACCACACCTGGCTAATATTTGTATTTTTTTTTTTTTTTAGTAGAGACGGGGTTTCACCATGTTGGCCAGGCTGGTCTCAAACTTCTGACCTCAAGCGATCCACCCCCCTCAGCCTCCCAAAGTGCTGGGATTACAGGAGTGAGCCACCATGCCTGGCCATGATTAGTATTTTAAATATGATTTGGGCCAGCAAGGTTGCTGCTTTTTGGATATAACTCACATAGCACTGCCATCCAGTGAGGAGGTACTAGCTGAAATGAAACAGGATTTTAATTGGAACTGCTATCAGCACATGCACTTTAGTTCCTGCTGTTCCAGACTGCCTGTCCGACTTTAACTTCATGGACTGTAAAGAGAACCCCTCAAAAGAGATCAAGAGATTTCAATGGGTACAGAGTTTCTGTTGGAATAAAAATGTTTTAGAAACGAACAGTGGTGATGGTTGCACAAGAGTGTAACTGTAATTAATGTCAAACTATATATGCTTTAAAATGGTTCAAAATGATATATTTTATGTTCTATATATTTTATATTTAAAAAAAAAAAAAGAGAGAGTACGAGCCCAGCCTGGCATCACTAACACACTGATGTACTCACAGCTCATCTCTTTCTTTCCAAACTATAGGACTCTCTATTTGGGCAACGCCCCAAGTCCTACATAGAGTCAGGTTCATGATGTCCCCAGGGGCAGGTCCAGAGGGGCCAGTCACATACATGGGACATCAAAGGAATGTGGAAGTCAGCAAAGGACACAGAAACCTGGGGTCTGCATAGGAGGCAGGGGCCAACTCCCTCATGTCCCTCCCGAACGTGGCTGCTGTGGTCAGGACTCGGCACTGTCCTAGCACGCGCACCCAGGAGGCCGTGTTTACTTGTTCTGGTAGGTGCTGATGGTCACGTGAGTCGAGTGGGCCAGCCCCGCAGGAGTATCCGCTTGATGAATGGTTCCTCTGGGAAAGTACAACAAATCCCCCGGCTAAAGGAAGGAATAGGAAAGGGGAGAGAAGTTAATAAGTATTCCTTCTCAGTCTTCTTTATTTCAGGGAGATAAATATGGGCTTTGAGTCTCAGTTCACCATTCGAGAAACCGCGACCTCAAGATGCAGTCGATAGCTGGGCTCATGTCATGTGCAGCTAGTCTAGCTTCTCTGTGTCCGTGGGCCTGTCACTGTTAACCACAATCCACGAGAGGCTCTCAGTGCCTGAGGAACTGTCTTTTCATTCTCAAGCTGAGACTAGACTCACCTGAGACTACCCTGTCCTGATACAGGGATCAAGGATAGTAACACCCTGTGCCTGGGAAGCCTGCTTCCTCCCTCTTGCATGCATCAGTGGTTAACAGTAGGAGCTTTAATTTAGAGTCACATAGACACTGCCACTTACTGGCTGATGATCTGGCAATTACCTGCCCAAAGTCTCAGTTTATCTGTAAAATGGAGGTTCATAGCCCCAAAACTTACAGGATTATTCTGAGGGTTAGAGGTGCTGCTTCCAAGCTCTTAGGGCCATGATGGGCATGTGATTGGATGACATGATCTTATCTGCCAGTTCCCCACTTCCTGATAATTTTTGAGGACTTCCAGGCGCAGGGTCTGTATCTTACCCTCTTGTCTTTCTCAGAGCCTACCCTAGCAAAGCACCTAGCACTCAATACAGGCTCAATGAATGTTGGGATGAATTGAAAAACTATACAACCCTTATTTGAACTGAAAAATCAGATGTAATCCAAGATTCATCATTTTCCTAGGCAGCTGAGCCTCCCCCACCCTATTCCAAGTGAGTGGACCAAAACCTTCTCCCCACATTACTCCTGCCCTGAGCTATCTCCTTCCTAATCCCACTCAGGCCAAAACATTCCCTACAGCAGCTACCTACAGAGAAAAGAGGGAATCTGGAGGGCAGCTCATCTTCTCTCTGCAACTACAAGAGTCAGTCTAGTGCAATGGTTAAGACCATGAGCCCTGGAGAAAGAGCTCAAGAAATACGAGCTTTAAGCAACAGGAATATATCATGATGTATATTCATAAGAGCTATCTTGGTTGCAAATTCTCCCTGAATGACAACAAACTGACAGTACTTCAAGTAAATGCTTTACTGATAATTATAACTATCGTTCACTGAGTGTCTCTGTGCCAGCCCGAGTGAGACTCTTATGTATACAGTCACACGTCACTTAACAATGGGGTTATGTTCTGAGAAAAGTGGTTTGTCACTGTGCAAACATCAAAGTGTATTTACAAATCTAGGTAGTATAGGGTACTACCAAGATTACATGGTGCAGCCTACTGCTCCTAGGCTCCAAACCTATACAGCACGTGACTGTACTGAATACTGTAGAAAACTGTAACACAATGATGTTTGTGTACTTAAATATATCTAAACATGGACAAGTAAAAATACAGTATAAACAATAAAAAATGGTACATCTACATACTCTGGGCGAGCCCATCAGTGATGGTAAGTGAATGGGAGAACCTAGGACCCCACTGTACACTTTTATACGACTAGCAAAGAAGTAGGGTTGTTTACAGCAGCATCACCACAAACACGTGAGTAATGCGTCACACTACCACATTTTACAATGGCTACGATAACACTAGGTGATAGGAATTTTTCAGCTTCATTATAACCTCATGGGACAACTGTCACATATGTCTGTTGTTGACTAAAACGTCAAGTGGCACATGACTGTATATTTCATTGATTTCATACACATTTTCCCCACCCTCCTGGCTGGAAAAGGCAAGTAAACATCCTCCCCCCAGTCTCCTGAAGGAATGCAGTACAGCAACCCCAGAGAAACCCCTTTTGCACTCCTGACCTCCAGACGCATAAGATAATGAATTTGTTTGTTTTAAACCATTGATTTAGTGGTAATTTGACAAGAAGCAACAGGAAAACAGGAAAAACATAAAGATAATGCCTCTAAAGATTTTTTTTTTTTTTTTTTTTTTTTTTTGAGACGGAGTTTCGCTCTTGTTGCCCAGGCTGGAGTGCCATGGCGCGATCTCGGTCACTGCAACTCCCGCCTCCTGGGTTCAAGTGATTCTCCTGCCTCAGCCTCCTGAGTAGCTGGGATTACAGGCATGAGCCACCACGCCCAGCTAATTTTGTATTTTCAGTAGAGATGGGGTTTCTCCATGTTGGCAGGCTGGTCTCGAACTCCTGACCTCAGGTGATCCACCCGCCTCGGCCTCCCAAATTGCTGGGATTACAGGCGTGAGCCACCGCGCCCCACCTAAAGATTATTATTGTAAAAGAGGCAGCAAAATAAAATTTTTCAGTCCTCATAGCCTACAAGGTAAATATCATGATCTCCATTTTAATAAAGAGGAAACTGAGACTTGGATAAATAACTTGACGAAGGACATACAGCTAATAAGTGAGAGCAGCTGAATTCAAACTCAGATCTGTCAGATCCCTGAGCCACAGAGCGGTGTTTCCATCACAGGGGTGCTCTCATCCTGGGAGTCTGGGTCTGCAGATGAACCACACAGGCTGCCACTGGTGTAGGGGCAAGCAGCAGATAAGGGCTCCAAGATCCCCACTGTCACCCTCCCATGCCCATCCCTCAGCCACAGCCACTCAGCCTATTTCATCTTTGGGCATTGACACAAGGTTTCGCCTCAAGAGGCCCACTGGTTAAAAGCTCAAATGTGGACGGGATGCGGTGGCGGGGCGTGGCAGCTCACGCCTGTAATCCCAGCACTTTGGGAGGCTGAGGCAGGTGGATCACCAGGTCAGGAGTTTGAGACCAGCCTGGCCAACATGGTGAAATCCTGTCTCTACTAAAGATACAAAAAATTAACCGGGCGTGGTGGCAGGCACCTGTAATCCCAGCTAGTCGGGAGGCTGAGGCAGGAGAATCGCTTGAACCCGGGAGGTGGAGGTTGCAGTGAGCCAAAATTGCACTATTGCCCTCCAGCCTGGGTGACAGGGCGAGACTCTGTCTAAAAAATAAAAAAAATTAAAAAAAAAAAAAAAAAACTTCACATGCACATACACATACACAGTTGCACAACATGGTCTTTCTCCGTCCAGGAGACTCAGGGCATCTCTTAATGGACTCTGTGTTCACTGAGTGTTTAATGGGCATGGCAACAATACAAAGAATCCACACCCTTTACACTTAAAGGCCACTATGAAGCCTGACCTTCTTGGGCAGAGCAAGTAGCCAGGTCATTAGCCTGAGTAACTCAGCCCTGACCTCCAGACTATTGATGGCTTAGTCTTTAAAGATAACCAACCATCAATCTATGTAAACATGGTGCAACAAAAGCAGAAGCTGGCAAACTCTGTGAAGAGCCAAATGGAAAGACAGTACATGTTTTTGGTTTGTGGGCCATGTGATCTCTGTGACTAGTCCGCTCTGCTGGTGCTGAGTGAACACAGTACGTTAAGGAATGGGTGTGGCTGTGTTCCAATAAACTCTTTACAAAAACAGGCAATAGGCCAGATTTTCTGGCCCATGGGCCGTAGTTTGATGACCACTGACTGAAAGCTTTAAAAACCCAGTAAGGTTACCTTTACTGCTGTTTATTTATTGAAGTATCCTATAATATCGGCACCCATCCTAAAAAGCAAGATTGTTTCCCTTAGTTACTGGGAGGTAGGGAAGGATCTTGAAATCAAGAAACACACAAGGCACTGAGTAAGAAACAGACTAATTATAACTTCGAGACACAAGAAAAACAATAAGTATATGCAAATGTGTCAGGTTGGCAGAATCTTTGGAATGGTTTAAAATAACTATTGTTTTAATGCTAAAGGAAATTAAGTTACATGTTTTAAGAAAGAGTATAAAGTTGAATCATGGAACTACTATCCCCGTAACATTCTTTTCCTCAACAACCTCTCCTGCTAGGGACTGGCTACGTTCCCTTCGATGTTAACTGCTCAAAGACAGATTTTCTCAGCAGCAAGATGCCAAGGAACCTGCACGTGATCAAGCCACCCGAATCCCCGGAGAAGGAATCCTCAAGAGCTTTCCTGATTACTGCTGTTCTGGTAACTGTATGCAGGGGCTACACATGATCAAGCCACCCGAATCCCCGGAGAAGGAATCCTCAAGAGCTTTCCTGATTACCTGTTCTGTTAACTGTATGCAGGGGCTACAGAGATAGTGTGCCATAAAACCAGGATGAAAATGAGTCACACGGAATTTAGCGACAAAAAAACACTAAAGGGATCCTAGCTTTCCTGATTACTGCTGTTCTGGTAACTGTATGCAGGGGCTACAGAGATAGTGTGCCATAAAACCAGGATGAAAATGAGTCACACCGGAATTTTAGCGACAAAAAAACACTAAGGGATCCCTGGCTATCCTCTGTCTAAGCAACTTCCAGCCCTGTGCTGACCACTGTCTTAGATGTGGAGAAGCTGACCAAGGCCAGAGCTTCCATTTTTCCTTTAGAGCAGTAAATGGTTCACTGAATTCTCTTTCTTCCTGTTGAACTTGAACTGCACATGAAGACAGGTTAGTTGGGAAATGAACTTAATACTTCCTTAACTCAAGTCTCCAAGCGCAAACCACCAAGACTCCTTCAGAAATTGCATGTGCTGGCTGACGGCAATGAGAGCCACCCTGCCCTGAGACCCAGGGCTACATTCCCATGGGGACCAGCACACAAACTCTAAACCTTGAGCCTGAACTTGTCTTAGCAACTTGGCTCCAACAATGAGGTGCCCACAATGCTCATCACATACCTTCAGCATGAACTCATGCACCGGCCTGCCGATCCTTTCCTCGGCCTCCACGCTGTATTCCCGTGCCAGGGGCACAGTGGGGTGGTAGAGGCGCCAGTGTTTCTCTCCCTCCAGCTGCAGGATGAAAACCTAGAGACCCACAAGGCCCAGGAGCATCAGAGAGCTTCCTGACAAGTCACACACAAAGTGCTTCCGGAATATTAGCCCTCTAAGGGCTTAGACAAATATATAGGTGAACCTTGAACAACATAGGTTTTTTTTGTTTGTTTGTTTTGTTTTTTTTTCTGTTAGAGACAGTCTCACTCTGCTGGCCAGGCTGGAGTGCAGTGTCACAATTTGGGGTGTTGCTTTGTTGCCCAGGCTGGTCTTAAACTCCTGGCTTTAAACAATCCTCCCGCCTTGGCCTCCCAAAGTGATCACAGGCGTGAGCCACTGCACCTGGCCTGACAGCATGGGGATGAACCGTGCAGGTGTGCTTATATGCTGATTTTTTTCAATAAATACATTGGAAAATTTGGGGGAGATTTGCAACAACTTGAAAAACATGAAAAATATCAAAAGAATTAAGAATGTCATAAATGCATTCAATATAAACACGTATACAGATATTAGTCTATCATCTACTACCATAACATATTCACAAATCTATTACGAAAGGTTAAAATTTATCAAAACTTACCCATACAAATACTTCCAGACCATACATGTCACCATTTGCAGTCAAGAAACGTAAACGAACTTAAAGATGCAATATGGAATAGCTGAATAAAATTAACTTTAGTACGTATTGTACTACTGTAATAATTTTGTACTACCTCCTGTTGCTATTGCCATGAGCTCAAGTGTGCTGCTAATTATCGCCACATGAGCAGTTCCTCTCTCCAGTGAATTGGGTATCACAGTAAAAAGTGGTCTCTCAACAGTTCTTGTGTATTTTTCACCATGTTGAGTGCAACACCTTAAGCCTTGAATAACACCATGGGACCCATATGAAGTGCCACTATGGCGACTCCAAGTACTCCCGAGAAGCAGAAAAAAGTTGTAACATTACAAGAAAAAGTTGAATTGCTTGATGTGTACGTAGACTAAGGCCTGCAGCTGTGGCTGCCCACCGTTTCAGATGGACAATTTAGCTTGTAAACAAATGATGTAAACTCACAGTACTGATACAGTACTAGAAATATATTTTCTCTTTCTTCCAATTTTCTTAATAACTTTTCTCCAGATTACTTTATAAAAGTACACAACACATATAACATACAAAGTAAGTGTTAACTAATTTATGCTATCAGTAAGATATCTAGGCAATGGTAGGCTACTAATAGTTAAATTTTGGGGGAGTCAAAAGTTACAAGGGGATTTCGGACTGTACCAGGTGCTGCTGGCAGCACTAACCCCCACTCTGCTCAAGGGTCAACGGTACAAGTTTCCGATAAAAAATAAAAATGAAAGATGAGAAATGCATGTCATTCCACAGCTAAACGAAAGTTGCCACTACTGGGTTTTATTTTTAAAAACAGGGAATCATGAATCCTGACACTTGATATTCATTCTTTCCACTTTCTTAGAGCCTCGCTGAGTTCTTTATATTCCACTATCTCATTCCTTTAAATCTTCTATCAGACAGCTGAAAGCCCATAATCTCTGATGGAAAAGCCAAGCTTCAGATATTACTGAAGGTCTAAATCCTGAATGTTGAAAGGGCCTGGGCAGACAGGAAAAGTTAGCATTTTTTATTCTTTAATCAGTCAAAGATATTTTAATGTTCTATTAAAAACATTAAAAATAACATTTTGGGAAAATGTATTGATGTCAAATTGCTACCACAGGAGAAAAAGGGGACTTTTTACTAATAACTCTGTGTTTACACCTTATATGAGGAAAAAAATAAAACTATGGAATACATAAGCCAGAGAGTTAAATTTGTTCGGCAGCCACATCAGAGTGAAATCAACACTTGTCAAGATGCCAATACTTAAGTGAAACCATGACCCTCATTCAAGCTGCCCCAAGATTTTCACAAATGGAAAATATATACATATTTTTGGCAGCTACTGAAAAAGAACAAAATGAAAGCAGATGAAGGATTGTGACCTCACCTTATTAAAGACCATACTTTGTGAAATTAAACGAAAAGCCAAGCACACCTTTCTGTAGATAAATTCAATAAATACTTGTTTCAAAGGAATGTGTGGCTCTTTAAATTAGTAAGGTTGGAAACAATCTCTTCCTTTGAGACAGAATGGGAAACCAGTTTAGTGGGATTTACTTTGGCCCAACATTTTGATGAAATCAATATCTCCAGACACTGCACAGAAAGAGTGAATACAGACCTAAGAGCCTTAGAGAATAATGTGAACTCACCCTGACAACTCTACTAAACCAGGCTCTCAAGAACTCGTTCTTTCCAGCATGGAGCAATTTTCTCCCTCTCTTACCTCGACATCATCATAATGGGGCGGTAGGCCCTGAGATCCTGCGGGAGTTATGTACACATTCGAGCCAACCAAGGAGCCAAAGTAACATTCCAGCTTCTCCTGGATCCTCCAAAGCTCATCCTTTACAAAAAAGGAAAAAAAAGGGTCGGGGGCGGGGAGTGAAAAATGTATTAGAAATAAGAGTAAGAGCACGCTCTTGTTCACTTAGGAAGTCTTTACTGCGCAACTATTATATACCAGACACTGGGAATTATGCAATGATACAGCCAATACCCATGGCCTCAAAAATCTTCCATTCCAGTGCAGAAACACCATGCAACAGATGTGAACAGATAAAGGGGAGACTGACAAGGTGGGCAACTGGGAGTCCGGAAGGCTTCTAAGGAAGGACACAATCCAGTTTACATTTTTGAAAGCTCACCCTGGTTACTGTGTGAAGAATGCACTGTAGAAAAGAGTGGAAGTCAGAGAGACTAGTGAGGAAGCTTCTCAGGCAGCAGCTCAAGCGGGAAGTGACTGGGTGGTAAGAAAGGCATGGGGGGAAATAGTAGAGTGGGATGCACTCTAGAAGCAGGACAGACAGGACTTGCTGACAAACTCAATGTAAAGGAGAGGAGTTAAAAAAAACACTCCTGGGTTTTTGACGTGGGCAATCAGTTCCCCTTTCCATGTAATGAGATGCAAAAAAACTTACAAAAAACAAGTTTTCAGGACAAAAAAAAAAAAAGAGTTTTAGATTAGGAATGTTAAGTCTGGGATGCTAAGACCCCCCACATGGAGATGCTTTAAGTCGGTCTGAAGTTCTGGCAGAAACGAAGGACTGTAGATTTACACTTGGGAATTGCCTACACAAACTGGATATTTAAAGCAATGGGAACAGAAACGATCACATAGGAAGAAGGTACAGACAGAGAAGGAATAACAGGCTGGGTAACGTTCCCTCTCTCTACTATCAACTCTTTAGAGCAGACACCAGACTGAGGGGCCTAGCGATGCGCCATATATTCCCATGAGAGAGAAAGAAGTGTGATTTTACCAAGGCTGACGAGAAGAGAGGAGGGGGCAATTAGGCCATGTAGATATTAGCACTTCCTATGTGCCAGGCACTGTCTCCAAGTGCTTTACACATATTAATTATGCAACCCTCACAATAACCCTGCCTCATAAAGACAGTACTATCATTACTTTCAGTTTAGAGAGGGTACCATCATTATCTTCAGTTTACAGACAAGGAAACTGAGGCATGAGAACATGCAACTAGTAAACAATGGAGCCAGGATTCAAATTCAGGCAGCATGGCTCCAGAGTCCGTACCTTTCAGATAATTTGAGAAAAGACAAATCACACAGGACACTAAAGAGACTGAAGTTTTAAACATATGAATGTACAGTGCCTGGCACACAGACTGCATGACAACATATTTAAATATTTGCTGAGCAAACCGATGACCACAGCTTGGGAGTCCCTTCTACCACAGGAGTGAAAAAGAATCCACGGTATTAAAAACATCAACTGGGAAGAACTGGGTCAGTACGAAAAAAGACTTTTTTAAGACACAGTCTGCTCTGTCACCCAGGCTGAAGTGCAGTGGTGTGATCACAATCACAGTTCACTGCAGCCTCGACATCCCAGACTTAAATGATCCTCACATCTCAGCCTCCCAAGTAGCTGGGACTACGGGTGCATGCCACCTTGCCCGGCTAAGTTTTTTCTTTTTTTTGTTTCTTTTTGTAGAGATGGTGGTCTCACTTTGCTGCCCAGACTGGTGTCAAACTCTTGGATTCAAATTATCCTCCTACTCTGGCCTCCCTAAGTGCTAGGATTACAGATACGAGCCATGGACTTAGCCAAGGACATCTTTATACAGACCACTGGGCGTCTCTATTTATAGATCTCAGAGTTTCTACTTAACACAGAAAAAATAATGTAATATCATCTGAATAGCTCCAAAGAGTTAACAGAGCTCCAAAAGGGCCTAATTTATTTCAGGGAAAGGCCAACAGGACCTGGTTCTGCAATTATTTTTATATAGTAACTGGAACCACTAGAAAACCAGGGCTTCTCTCTCTCTCTCTCTCTCTCTGATGGTATGAGAGGTCTTTCAGAACTGTGTAGGTGATTTTATGGTTCCCGACCCAACTCTCAGGGTCTGTAACTGATGAATATGTCTCTTTTCTTCTTAAAGGTTACTGAAAATGCTATCAATGGCACATTTTTCTATTTCACCAGGACCTTTAGCCTCTGAATCTGCCAACCGTGGCCTACTAGAAGAGATCTGGAGCCAAACCACCTCGGTTCAAGTTATAATTACAAGCAAGGTGACTTCAGTTGTTTATCTTTAAGATAACGATATTACCAGTCCCACTCAAACGCTGTGGCGAACAGCATCAAACAACTTATCACAAATCCTATTTAAACTGCAAAGCAGTACACAAGCGATATTGCTTTACGAACATTGACTCAAGCACAAACAAGGCTCCTGAAACCTGTCTTCTCCTTTACCACAGGACTCCATATCCGGCGAGTCCAAGGAGGAACTAGAACAATGAAAGGGAGAAGCCGGAAGTCTCTCTCTTGGCTGGCTGTGACCTCCTCTCTCCACTGACCTACCCCTCGGAATCCAAACTCAAGGCCATGGCTAAAAGAGAAGTCCGCATATATGCCTAAAGAAAGGCAAAAGCAAACATACAAAAAGCCCCACTAAATTTCAATTTACATCTTTCAAAGTATGGTAGGAAAATGCCTTAAATTTGAAGTCAGAAACCCTTATCAGCTTGGAATAGCTACGGAAAGGTCACATCTGTGAACTCCAGTTTTTTCACACAGAAAATGGAGTCCACAGCCAGGTGCAGTGGCTCAGGCCTATAATCCCAGCATTTTGGGAGGCCAAGGCAGGTGGATCACAAGGGCAGCAGTTCGAGGCCAGCCTGGCCAACATGCTGAAACCCCATCTCTATGAAAGAAAAAAAACAAAACCAGCCAGGTGTGGTGGCATGCACCTGTAATCCCAGCCACTCAGAAGGCTGAGGCTCCAGAATTGCTTGAACCCAGGAGGCGGAGGTTGCAGTGAGCCGAGATTGCGCCACTGCACTCCAGCCTGGGTGGCAGGGCAAGACTCTGTCTCAAAAAAAAAAAGAGAGAGAAAGAGAAAAAAAGAAAATGGAACAAAAGCTGTCCTATTTCAAATGCCTGTTAGAAAGTTCAAAAGTTTAACTATATGAAATTACTTGGTAAAGTCTAGTCTGCTAAGCAAAATGCAAATAATTGTGATAATTCCTCTCACCAGGACTTTTAATATATGGATTACCGAAAGCAAGTGCAAACAACTTATTATGGCTCCCTGGTTGCCCCCTTACTCATTTTTAAACTAACTATACTAATAAGCTGTGCACAGTCTGAGACCCAATAAACAAAGGGTGGCATGTTCACTCTAACAGTCTCTCAACCTGGCCAGGGATAAACTGCTTCTAGACTTCCTCTATTCTGATGTTAATAAGCCCATTACTAAAGAAACACACACAATGCCAAACCACCTCATAATATAGTACTTAGAATCCAGACTCTAGTGGAAGAGAGTGAGCTCCTATGGCTTACAGGTCTCTCCAGTACGGGTGGTAGAAAGAGATTTAAAAAAAAAAAAAAAAAAAAAAAAAGGCCCACCCCAGGGGCTCATGCCTGTCATCCCAGCACTTTGGGAGGCTGAGGTGGGTGGATCACCTGAGGGCAGAAGTTCAAGACCAGCCTGGCCAACATGGTGAAACCCTGTCTCTACTAAAAACACAAAAATTAGCCGGGCATGGTGGTGTGTGCCTGTAATCCCAGCTACTAGGTGGGCTGAGGCAGAAGGATCACTTGAACCCGGGAGGCGGAGCCTGCAGCGAGCCGAGATCATGCCACTGCACTCCAGCCTGGGCAACAGAGCGAGACTCAGCCTGAGGGAAAAAAAAAAAAAAAAAGGCACATCCTAGTCTGGCCTGAGGGCTGAATTTGGGCTGAGAAAGCTCATCTTTCCTGCTTTAATAAAGTCAGCCAGAACCTAGTCAACAAGGCAAAAGAAACAGGTTCTTGGACACTAGAATCCCAGACGAGGAATGTGCAGGGCTTTAGCGGATGAACAGAGAAAAGTCCTGGGGGGAGATGATTCTAAAGTAGAGAAATGACAGCCACAGTGGAGACCACACATATGCCAAACATCACCTCTCTGCTGGTCTATGACCAAAGTACACGCAATCAAATTCACTGAATTCATTTATGTTTAGCGTTTTCAGGTTTCTAAAAACCACTCTTACAGTGCTACTTCTAGTCAAGGACTAGCTCAGCGAGAAGCATTTTATTGATGGTGTCCATATTTTCTGAATTCAAATCATAACTTGGTCTGACAAATGATTTGTAAATTCTTTTTGAGTGCCTAGGCCACAAGGTTAGCATTTCAGGGACATTTCAACTTCGTATGATTGCTTGAGATGGAATAGCTGGAATCAGGACTTGTCTTGAATCTAAGAGTACTCATACTTCATACAGAGTATGAATAGGTTCAAGATCTTTTAGACAAGAAAGAAAGGGAGGGGTATTCACCAGATGAAGGCCAGTGGGATGTAACAAGCCACCTCAAGTTAAATCACTGGAAACACTATTGGTAACTGACAACAGAGCCTCAGAAACCATCAATAAAGCCAGAATTCATTCCTCTCAATATGGAACCTCACAAACCCCGCTCTTTCTCCTCCCATGTTGCCATTTTGACTTAACGGAGGGTCACAGAAGGGGGTTTCTGAATGGGGATAAAAGTTTATCTAAAATTCAGACCAGCCCCTCACCTGTTCTGGGCCATCTGTCATGAGATGAGATACAGATCTCAAACCTTGAGGAAAACAAATTAGCTCATACTAAATCTGCATTTTATAAATGTAGAAACCGAGCATAGAGGAGGCAAATTATTTCCCAAATGTTAATCCCTGATATGGAAAAAAAGTTAAAAATTTGCCAGTCCTCTGCATTTGCAAAGCAAAGATTTCCTCCATCTATGAAGCCTTACCAGGAGCAGTTCCAGGACCCTGTACCTCAATGTCACCCATTCGGGTGTCATTAAGGGTGAAGTCTCTTTATCGAACTTGCATCTAGCATGTGATCTGGTCATAGCTCTGAAGCCTCTATTTAGACGCAGGCAGTAAAGGGAGGCAACTTCGGGAAAAAATGATCACCTTGATGCTATCATGCCTTAAATTACGGTGATGTGACAAACCAAATAGAAATGTCTATCATATAGAAAAACATAAACTGGCTCACAGAACATACTCCTGCAGTTGTACTGCCACTTTAATGACTTTATAAACTTGCAGTATAGTTTTTGCAGCTCGATGATACCCTACAGTGTCTACCCTGAGTTGCTGGAGTTTCTAACAGTTTAGCCAAAACATAACACATAATCTTAACCCTAGTTAGAATGCATTTAGACCAAAGAGGTGCTACCCCTTCTCAAACTGGCAGGAAGCTAACCATCATCAAACTATGTCTTCACCCTTGAGCTGGTATGTGGCCAAATGTTAGTACTTTAAAATGTATGAAGATTCTGCAATGAGGAAACTGGTTACCTTAAATCTCTGAGGTTGGTGAAACTGAATCGTTGCCCTTTTCTGATCAAAATCTTTTCTCAGCTGAAGAAAGTGTGCTTTGCCATCTTTATTTAAAACCTTCTTCTTCCCATTGACACACCGGCAGACATTCACGTCTCTTCCATAGTACATTCCCCGGCTGCACAGACTCTTCAGATCTGTTAGCTTGAACAGGGACCCATAGTATGTGGCCAGTGCGGGGTCATCTCTCTGAATGAGAAGGGGCTTCTGCTCCCAGAATTCCTTGAAAAAAGTCTCTGTCTTGATGGGCGAGATTAAACTTTCAAAGAGACTACTGGGACTGTCAAAGTTTAAAGCTGAAGGCCGCCCAGCTGCTTCTACCTTCATCTGCTTACAGGGAACCGGGCCCTCTTCCTTCCCACTCCCTGCAGGCTTTGCTTTCTTTGGCATCGTTCTGTCTTCAAGACAAAGCAATAAAGAAATGCAAACCTGCCAAAAGAACAAAACACACATGGTTAGGTGCCAGGATTGGTGTTAGTGGATCGCGCGCACACACAACTGAATGACCACTACACCTTCATGAGAACTCTCATAGGTCAAAGCTACTTCCCCCAGGAGAGGAGACAGCCTTAAGCCAATGTCATTTCTTGTAAGATATGATTCAGCCTCAACCACCACTCAGATGACATATTCATCTAAAGAAGAACGTGTTTTTCTTTTACGCAAGCACTATGTCATGGTATTATTTATTAGGCAGTATAATTATCCCAAATAAACCTATTCAACTGTCTCAGCAGTTCCTACCCATAGGTTCAGCCTGTGGCCCTTGACACAGCAAAGTCAAATATCTTGGATTTGGCTCCCATCAGCATCAGGGCCCACATCTAATTAGATGTACTCTGAGTTACAAACATTTGACTAGAGAACAACTAACAGCCGCCCACTTCCAGGTGCTCCTCACCGCAGCACCACCCCAACTGTTGCGCAGGTCAATCAATGCACCCTGGACCCACAGTGTCTCCTGGTGGCTGGAGCAGGCCACTGCCTTCTCCTGTCTCCACTAACCACCTGAACCTCCTCACTTCCAACTCTGAGCTTATTCCTGAAAACTGCCACTTGTATCAAAAACTCCCCTTCGTTTAAAGAAACAAATAAAGCCCCTAAAGGCTAAAAAGTGAAGGTTAAAAGCAGTTACATCTAAAGTCTTGAAAAAACTATAACTTTTTAACTGAAGATATTAAGTAATACCAATATCATTAACCCCTAACACAGCACTTCTCCAACTTTAATGTGCACACAGATCGCCTGAGCATCTCAATAAAATGCAGGAGACGATTCACTAGCTCCAAGGTGGAGCCTGAGATTCTACATTTCTAACAGGCTCCCAGGTGATGCTTCTGCTGCTGACACGGCTGAGTAGCAGAAGCCACTCAGCCAAGCCTTGCAAAGCTCCTTCAGAACTGCCTCCAAACCACAACTATTGATACTTAAAGGCTAGGTCTCCCTCATCTGTTTCCAAGAACTGTAATTCAAATTATTCAAATTTCCTGAGACTGCAAAATTCTATCTTAAAGTCCTTTCCCCCTGGGAAGAGACTCCACTGCTTTCAGCAGATTCTTAAAGGAGTCCCTATCTCCCGACAAGGTGAAGAACCACTGTGCTTATAAAAACCAAAATTTCTCAGAGACTTGTTATTTATACATGGTAGAGTTTCCTACTTTGGCGAGTTATCAGAATTGCAAGAATACTGTTCTCTGCTCTTTTGTCATTAGAACTAAGCAGTATTTCAGCTACACTGTAGACTAAGTGGAATTAATGTTTTGGCCTGGGAAGTAAGCATCCTGGAACGATGCGTTGCATACTGTGTGATGTGTTGCGACTTATGAAAGAACCTTGAGAATGAAACCCAGATGTAAACTGAACAGATTAAGAAAGGAAATGTCAAAATATAAAACCCTCTAAACAGCTCAGTTCCTTCAAAAGGCCAAGTGCTTTTGATAAGGAAACCCAGGACATGGTGGAAAACGAATACAAATGGATACTAAAATCCTACAGGAGAAGGGTAAAGCTTTAAGCTTAGGAAAAAAAATAAACTTTAGTGTTTAGGATATGTGGTCAGTAAGACACATTTTCTGAAAATGTTTCCTTTAAGTGAAACAGACCAGCTTGAATTCTCAAGGAAAGAACTAAGGCTTCGGGAAGGCACAGCATAGCTAGTACATGGAACTCTCAAGTGATGTAGAAATACAAAGAGATACAAAAATGGATTCGGCAAGGGGTCCTGCTTATGCAGAAGAGGTTCCACAGCAGGCCTGACTGCTATCCTTTGAAACTGCAGCTTGTGGCCGACGTCTGAGAACTTAAGATTTTGGGAGAGTTTCCACCACCATTAACTGATAGGAGTGGCTCACCATGCCTAAAATGTACAATCATTATGGTTTATACCAACACCTACTTTCCTCTAGGAGTCTGGAAATGTTGGTATGTGCCAGGCAGGGGTGGCCTAAGTGATCAGCCCCCAGTAAAAGCCCTGGGCACTGCATCTCTAACAAGCTTCCCTGGGTGGCAACATTTCACAAGTGTTGACACAACTAGCTGCTGCAGCAACTGAGCGCAGCCGGTGCGGCCGCTCGAAGACCCTTGGAGTCTTGCACTGGGTCTCCCCAGAACTTCACGTATGTGCCTCTTCCCTTTGCTGACTGTGCTTGGCATCCTTTCCCTGTAATAAATCAGCCAAGTCCTCCTAGCAAATTGCTGAACTAAGGATGGTCTTGGGGACCACACACATTGCTCACGTTTAATTTTTAAAAACCTAGATGGGTTTATTAGGTTTGTATTACTAAAGGCACCCTATACAGTAATTTTATATTCAACCACACATCTCTTATCGCTCACAATTGTTCCGTTTAAAATTGAAGGGGAGAGAGCAGCAGGAAGATGCAAACGAAAAGCTTGTTTTCTTTAAGCATAATATATAAATACAGTATAAGCACATTCACCAGAAAGTGTGGCTAAACAAAGAATGCAAAACACTTATGCTGAAAAAAAATCACTTAAAAGAATCTTTCCCATCTACAATAACTAACAAAATATACCCCAATACTGTGTAACAAACGCTCTCCTTAGAATATAAATTTCACTACCCATACTGCAAAAAGTTACATCATTTGTTTCTCTATGTTCATATTGAAATGATTTAAGGCTCAGTTAATTGGAGCCTAAGCTTAGAGTTTTCTGGGCAAATAAACTATTTCTCTGATTCTCACACTACTCATACTGTAAGACAACCGTTCCTTTTAACAGCTTTCTAGAGCAGAGGGAAGAATAGGTGAAGCATCCTACCACATTAAACATATGAAAGTCTTAAGGTACACATCACAATTTCGGGAACAGCAAAAAGTAAAACACATTATCTTAGAATCCAATACTATAGTAATTAAAGAAGACAATGCTTTGTCTAGAATAGTACGGCCAACACAATCTTGCCTGTAAGCCTCAGAGAACACCCCAATAGGAGTAAATATTTCTATAAAATCACAGAAAAGTTTTTGAAGAGCAATGGTTTTCCATTTGAGTTGACTATAAGCATTAAATGTAAAAAGACTAAAAGACTTACGGTTCATACTTTGGTGACTACCCCACAGATAAACCCTATAAGAAAATCAATGTTGACAACCATACTATAGGTAACAGAGAGTCAGTATATTTTAAAGGTACCCTAAACTCCTTTTCCATAAAATTTGAGGACATGAAGACGTGAGGAAGCTCTTGAAGGAAAGGATTCATATATCCCCAGAAACAAGCACGGTGTGGTACATAGGTCCTCAAGAAATGTTTGCTGAATTTTTCACGTTTTCATCTTTTGTCTGTATTCAATTTTGGAGACAAATCACAAAGGCCTTACACAAAACAGTTATGGAAAAAACAGATGGTTTGTGCAGAGGGGATTATTTTTCTGATGGCAGCTGTCACTTCAGGATTCAACAGTATCATAAAAGCTAAAAGGCACTTTAGACATCAGTAGTTACTACTAAAGCGGGGGAGGGAAGTATGAGTTTCCACATCCCCTGGGCACTGTTTTACCGAATATAGTTCAGAGTTACCAGCAAGGTTGTTAGCATGCAAATTTCTGGGTCCCTTATCAAGACCACTGGATTGCCACTTCTGATGGCTGCGGCCCAGAAATCTGCATCAACATAATACGCTCTCTAGATGAATTTTAGGTCCACTAATGGAGGACAACAATCAAACGCAGCTCAGTTAAACACACACGGCTGTCAGAAATTATATATTGTTTGTAACAAGGTTGCCCAGACTGACCTAAAACATTTCTTTTTGGCTCAGACATGTTAATCAATCCAGAGGGAAAACTGGTACTCCTATTGACCTAAAGGGGTGATAAGTAGCTATTTTTTAGTTTGATTTTAGAGAGGAAACGGACTATACCTCAATGTATTTTGGTGACCTTGATGTTACAAAGCTTGATGTCCTGGAGGCAAAAATCAGCACCAGCAGAAGCAGCTGGGTCAGTCAGGTTCCTCCACTCAAAGATGAGCCCAGTGACATGAAACCCGAGGCACCAGATTTACAGCTAATGAGTGGTAAAATCAGATCCTCTATCCTCCCAGTCTATCCTTCCTGAAAACAGTGAATAACCTGGTCTCAGTAACCTGTTGGACAACCCAGCTGTCGGCCAATCGTTGTGGAATTATTTGCTGGTAAATGAATTGGAAGCATATGATGTAATGCAGCTGCCCTTCTCCCCACACACCTGAACTTCAGGTTTCCCAGCTGTAGAGCGTGTCTCTTAGGCCCGACCTGACGCCTGGCGGCGCAGCCCACGTGGAGGCCGCGCTCGTAGAGGCAGTTCTGCCACCACCGGGCGGAAGCCGGCACCACCCTCCTTGCCAAACCTCCAAACTTTCTGCGCGCTCGTAACCGGGGTCGCGACCATTAGCAGGGCACTTGTGCGACTCTCTGTGCCCAAGGCTTCCGCGACCATACCCCTAGATCCGGGCTGCACCCACCCTGCCCCGGTCTCCGGGGAGGTGGGGCGCCTGGGCGCGCGTCCCAGGTCCGGCAACCATAAAGCCTGCCACCGAGGCTTCCCGCCGGCCGGCAGGTCTCCCACACCCGCACCCGGGCCCAGGTGCCTAAAGCAGCAGCGCGCGCCCCGCGGGATCCGGCACGACCAGGCGTGCCCCGGCGCTGGGCTGCCAGCGAGAGCGCCCCACTCACCCGGCACGGCCTGTTGCGCGCGGCCGCGAGCCCACTGCGCGACGGCGCGGCGGCTGGAGGCGGGGCGGCGTGGGCACGCTCCGGGCGGTGCTCCAGCCCCCGCCCCGCCACGCCGACCAGCCAGTGGTGGGAGCCCCGGGGCCTGGCTACACCGCGGTGTTCCGTGTTCACGCCCGGGCGTTTCTTTAGTCCATATGGAAGGAGATAAATGATAAATCGCCTTTTTTTTCTCTCTCTCTTTTTTTTTTTTGCTATGTGAGACCAGGTCTCACTCTCCCCAGGCTAGAGTGCAGTAGTGCGCTCTTGACTCACTGCAACCTCCACCTCCCGGGCTCAGGCGATCCTCCTGCCTCGGCCTCCCAAAGTGCTGCATTATAGGTGTGAGCCACCCACCCGACTCTCTTTTTTTTTTTTCTTTTAACTTGGGGCGGGAGGAGGGGTTTGGGGGAGCGTGTTGCTGCAACCCCGCTCCTTTTATGAATAGAGAAACAGGCCTGAAGAGGGAATACCAGCTGTACAAGTTTAGGGAGTTGGTGGTCCGGATTCTCCCATGGCTTTCTTATGGGCTACACAATGCTGATTTGTACAAGCCGAGTGTCATTTATATCATCTCGCTCCGGGAGAGAGAATCAATCCTGGTTTTAAAAGATAGTGGAAATTCGTTGCGACTATGGCTATAGAAACAAAGAAGAATTGCAGTTATTTGAGTCCTTTCGGCCTAACACTCCCTGCTTTGGAACATTTGGATCCGGTCGGGAGGCACAAATGAGTGGGCAGGGAAATGAGTGGCGGGCCTGTGCCTTTCTTTGCTCTGTAGACAGCCAGAGGACCCAGAGGAAGTCGGTATTTCATTCTGTCAAGGTAACTGAGACCAGTGGCTGCTTCTAATGGTCAAGTGGCACATGAGCAGATGGGAACAAAGTACACCCTTGTCTAACATTTGTCTAAAACTAACAATAATAGCAAGTCTTGAATTGAGTTCTTCCTGGCTATAAGGCACCACGCTGGGTGTTTCAAATACTCCTCACTTCATCCTCACCACAACCTTGCAATTACCTCCATTTTACAGTTGAGGAAACTGAGTCAGGAGAGGTTAACTAACTTGCACAAGGTCACACAGCTAGGAAGATGCAGAAACAAGATTACAGCCAAATCAGTCAGTCAACTGCTGGTCTTTTTCACGTTTTACTAACACTTGTGTAACTAGTAAGCTTCCTGGCAGGTTCCAGTTGGAAAAACTCAAGGCTAACATCAAATTTAGCCCTTACAGGAAAAAAAAAAATAGCCAACAACAAAAATCACTAGTTGATATGATATTGCTAATGTACTTTGCTCTTTATTTTGACTGCAGAGTATCTATTCAAGATAATATAGAATAATATTGCTGTTCCTGGGATTCAGATAAAGGCACATTCTCATACGTCCACCAGTCGGAAAAACAGTACTGTTGTAGAAAAAAGTTACAACGTCAACATAAAATACCATTTTCTCAGCATATAAAATGGCCCTAGGATGTCTAACAGAACAAAAGTACATATTGAAGTCAACTCTGTGGGGGGAAATCATACATCTTGTGTAGGAGTTCCTCTAAGGCAAAATTAGTCTATCAGTATGTTCTCTCTGATTTTTTTCATTATAATTCCGATTTCTTAGCATAGCAAGCAAAAAAGTCATGATAGTTCCATCTTCAGACCTAAACAGTGCCTATCATGCCTGTGAAGAAAAGGAGGAGAGGCCGGGTGTGGTGGCTCACGCCTATAATCCCAGCACTTTGAGAGGCTACATGGGTGGATCACCTGAGGTCAGGAGTTCAAGACCACCCTGGCCAACATGGTGAAAACCTGTCTCTAACATAAATACAAAAAAATCATCCAGGCGTGGTAGTGCCGGCCTGTAATCCCAGCTACTCAGGAGGCTGAGGCAGGAGAATTGCTTGAACCAGGGAGGTGGGGGTTGCAGTGAGCTGAGATTGCGCCACTGCACTCCAGCCTGGGCAACAAGAGCAAAACTCTGTTTCGGAAAGAAAAAGAGAAAGAAACTTAGTTTGTGCTTGGGTGACAAGAGCAAAATTCTGTCAGAAGGAAGGAAGGAAGGAAGGGAGGGAGGGAGGGAGGGAGGGAGGTGAGGAAGTAAGGCTGGGGTGGGATGGGATGGGAGTGGAGAATGGCTTGCAACCTTGCCTGAGAGGAGGAAGAGGAGGTGAGGAAGTAAGGGTGGGGTGGGATGGGAGTGGAGAATGGTCTGCAACCTTGCCTGGGAGGCTTCTAGAATATGTGGCCTTCCTAAATGTATTGTTTCTGGGTTTGTTTGTTTGTTTGTTTTGGAAAAGTTCTTCCGGAGAACAAGATGCAGATTGCTATCCAGTTCCCACCAGAGGTTCATTTAAGTCAGTTATTTTGTTTCTGTAATTAATTTTCTCATGAAAACAATGCTGTAGATGGCAGCTCTCAAGATCTGCCGGGAAAAGACTTTAGAAGCCTCCAGATTTCTGAATCAATGGACTAGCGCTCCTCCTCTGGATCTGGGGAACAAGATGCCAAGGAGACAGGAGAAAGGAGAGAATTCCCTTCATGTCTTGGTCATAAATCCAGAAACAGACTTGTCCATGAGCCTTATAAAATAAGTTACATTTCGGAAGAGGTGCTTGATGCTCACACCCTTTGGGTTGCTTTGTTAAAAGACTCTTTTAGAGCCAAGTTTGTCTTCCGCTTCTGTTGTCTCTTAGGCTCTTCTTCCTGTAGAGCTTTTGGTTTTTAGCCACCTCACTGTGGCTCTGCATCTGTCCAGCCTGGGCATCAGGCTGCCAAAGTTCCTCCCTGTCCTACTCCCACCTCCAGTCACAATGATGCTGGGTGCAAAAAAAAATCTAAAAATGGTAGTGTGTAAATGTACTTTTTATGGTTATTAGATCTAACTCTGGAGGAGCCAGGTATATGAATTTGGAAAACTCTTTTTGCTAACATTCACTTTCCTCATTTATAAAGTAAGATTGCACCAGATGTACTGTGATATCCCTACTGGCACTCAAATTCCATAAGCTTACGGGTCCGTGCTCAAATATTCAAAAGGCATTAGAAGAAAAATCAGTCTGATTGGAATTACCTTCAGTCTATAAACACTGAAGAACTTATAAAATGATTAATATTTGTATGTTTGTTTAAAGCTTTATTTTATAATGCTACTGTGTCGTAAAGCTCCAGGCAACACACATTGCTTTAAACTATGTGAGTACTGCCCCCTATGTGTTTGTATTCACTTTGGTCCAGAAAATATCTAAACCACATCTTTCTTGTAAATGACTTTAATATTTATACCACTATATTGGCCTAGCTTTTTAATATAAGGAAACAGACACATCAAAATTAAATAACTTGCTCAAAATTACATTTGATAATCCATGTTTTTCATTTGGGCTGCTATAAGAAAATGAATACCCAAGACTGGGTGGCTTATAAGCAACAAAAATGGACTTCTCACAGTTTCGGAGGCTTGTTCTCTAGTTCATAGACGACCCCTTCTAGCTGCATCCTCACATGGTAGAAGTGGCAAGGACTTCTGTGGGTCCTCTTTATAATCTCATTTATAAGGCTTTACCCTCGTGACCTAATCTCCTCCCACAGGCCCCACCTTCTGATCACATTGGTGATTCTGTTTCAGTGTATGAATCCAGGGTGGGGACAAACATTCAGACCATAGCACCCATACTGCCTATCGAGTAATATTCTTTGAACTTCTGTTTATGTTTCTCCAAAAGTGGTTAATTTCACCTAACTCAGAAAGATGCTGTGAGCTTCGGGTGAGATGGAGTAAGTAAAAAGAGTTTTAAAACTGTAAAATGCTATTCAGCATGAGAGGCATTACGGTTACATCCCATATGACATCTTGAACATGATTCCATAGAATGAATTAAATGCAGTTGGGCCTTTTATCCATGCATACTTCACTTAATTTACACAATTCATCAAGCAGGGCACCTTCAAATTCATGTCATATCACCATGGGATAATCTTGGTGTCTTAGTACCTTCAGAAAAGTCAAATTTGTTTGAGAATGACCCAGGCCGAGGTCTTTCAAGACTATACAGTTACGATACAGCTCATAGAACTCAACATATTCAACTTGATAACAAGCATACCATCATCGTTTGGGATTATATTTTGCATATTTATATAACTATGGTTTAAACTCGTTGGGAGCAAGAAATGTGCTGCTTTAATTCTGAGAACTGCAACAGAGTTCCTCACAGAGTAGTTACTCAGTGTTTACAAAATTCAATTGGGTAAGTATTCTTACTTTCTTTTCTTGCTTAGAGTCCAATTTCTTTTACAGCCTGTGCCTACAGGAAAGTTGGTGCTAGGCTGCATGACTTTTCTTAAATGATTCTGCAGACCTCCTTTCTCCAACAACCCAGCACTTGCAGGTGAAAATATGCCTCAGGATTTTCCAATCACTTTTCCTTACAGAGACGTTTTCTTACTTAACATGTTACCATAAATCTTGAAACTGACTTGCCCATGATTCTTATAAAAATATATACTCCTGCAGAGGTGCTTTCTGCTCATACTCTTTGGGTTGCTTTGTTAAAAGGTAAACAAGCTCCTATTGAAAATGTTTCCTACAAGACTGACAGAATGTATATATGGGTGAGGAGCCCCCAATGTTATGATGCCACATTAGTTTACTTATTTTCCTTTAAAATATCATAATGACCTAAAAATGACCAGCTAAGGTGGTACTAGTCAGGTACTGATGGGTCTGTTAATCAAGTTTTTTTAAAAACTTTCAAGGAAGAGAAAAATATACCTCATATAAACTGTTTCCGAATATAGAAAAGGAAAATAATTGAAAAAGAAAATTACAGACAAATGTTATTTATAAACCTAGAGGCATATAACCTCTGTGGGATTTTGACTGGAAATTTCAGTCAAATCCCCCAAACTGGAGACAATATTCTTATTTTTTATTTGTTCAACACTTGCCACTTTCCATTTTCC